TGATTCTTGGTGACAGCAACCTCATGAATATTTCGAGAACAATTAGGTCGTCTGCATAATTTATGCTTTCTGGGCAGTTGATCATTAGCCAAATTCCACCTTGACAGTTTGGAATTTTATACACAATTTGTAAGAGCTCGGTGGTGGTGAGACTCTCAGCTGTTTCTAGCCCTGTCGGAACATCAGACAGCTTAAGTTTAGGCCAAACCAAATTAATCAATCGGTACTTGGATTGGGCCTTTTCATTTTTTCTGACTTGAAAAAAAAATCCAGGTCCTGAATCAGTTCCAAATTAATCATATTCTGGCCACAACAGTTGAAAAAAACCTAAAAGTCCTTGCCTTTGTAGTTATTTCAGTCTTTCTATCTACAGCTGTATCAATGCATGGCACCTATCATAACATTCGGGGCTATAAGCCTGTTTTTTTTAATCATGTTGCTTCATATTTTTGCTGAAAAAAATCTGAGAACCAACAAATTAAATTGGTGTGGCCTAATATGTTGGAAAAGCATCAGGCTTAAAGTTCTGAACTCTCCACCATCAAAGGATCTTAGTAAGTACACCTTAACCCTGCAAAGTCTTTTAAAGAAGAGGCTAGACGCTGTCAAACAAATTCCTCTGTAAAAGAAGGCTGCGAATGTTAGCTTATAAGGAAAGAGCCCGCTGCGATTCGCATCATCCGCCATTAAGAATGAAAAGACCAGGTTACCAGTTGTGAACCCCAAGTGTGTGGACATTCCCAGCTGCTGCCTGCCAAATATACCAGCTCCCCAGCCCACCCACACCCCTATCACTCACACATAGCCGGTCACAAGGACATGGCAGGGGGAAATTATGAATAACAACTGACTCATATAACTGCAGTGTCCAACTTCTCTCTTCACTTTTGACCTTGGTTTCATTTAATGAATCAAACTTCTTGGTGAAGGTCGACCATTTTGCTTAGATGTTGAAAAATGAGGCAGTCATAATAAATCCTGACTTGTAGGTCAAGGAAACCAACAAGTTATTCTGCAAACATCGAAAAGAGCCTTGAACGTTAACCATGAACTTCACATAGAAACAAGGGCAAAAATTGCAAAATGACATACAGTATCTAAATTTTCTAATAATGGAAATAATTTTCAGCTTTGTACATCATCAGCAAATACAAACAGCATACAAATTAACACTATTACGTCACTATAACAATAGTCCTTGATGTATCCAAAAGCACACATTGTCCGCAGCCTTAGACCGATCCTGGCTGTCCATCAAAATGAGCTGTTTAGCCAATAAGACAGCAGCTTGCTGTGACTTTAGCTAGGCACGTCCGCCATTTTGCTGGTCTAATTCTTGTATCAATTCCATTTTGACCCAGGTGTTTTAGGGGTAAGCATGTCTACAAGATGGGACTTTTGGCTGAAAACTAATTTTTTTTATTTGTCCTGAGAGAAAAATGGTTCTACATCTATAATGGCAGGCAAATCTGTAACCGGTTCCATCCTGTCAGTAGGAATGTGGCTGTGGGCATATCTGTCACAAGCGATTGGAGCTGCCAATTGGTTTGATAAGGGCAAGCCTCCATAGTCCATTTGAAGTTCAATGGACATGTGCAAGAACACTACGAGACATTCCAATGCCACTTATAAACAGAGACCTTCTTACTCCTTCAATTTACCGTCCAGTCCATAAACAAATCTGCTGCTATCAGTATCAACAACAGTAAAGAACTGATAAAGGTGAATTGTGTACTATAGTAATTAGGTCTTAAGTACATGTTGTTGTTGTCCATTTCATCACTTCCAGGTGATAGAAACATTCGCACATATAGTTAGTTTATAAAAAATATCAGTATAATTACGTGTAGTTTCATTTGAGATACTGCATGAGAAAGTCAGTGGCATGCCCAAAAGTCAGAAAACCATCTGTTGTCCTATCCAACCGAAATGATCATTCAAGTCAAAAGTGACATATTAAACAAGTGGGACAATTGTGATGATTTCGACTAAAACTGTCTAAGAAAATATATTCCTTTTTCAATGCTTAATAACTAAAGTCTCGCCCTGGGAGATGCCAACACTTGGCACAGAGGTGCCCGAATAATACCTGGAGGAGAGATTTTTACTTTCGTCATTGGACTATATATTGGCATGCACTAAATGTCACCTGAGATGATTTTAACAACTCTGAGGTCAGAAATGTTTCTAACAATTAATACCAGCAGATAAGTGAGACATCATATCAGTTAGTCTACAATTATAACAGGTTTTGCTACAGTAACTGTAGAATCCTAATTATCTCTTGACAGGATACAGGTAACATGATTCTGACACAAGACATTTTGTTATCATTGTCCATCACAGGAGACATATTTGGCAGAATAAGGAAAGGTGATGAAGTATAGACAGTGGACATACATGTATCACAATTTGTAGATGTCAACAGTTTACTGTTATAAAGTAGATATTGAGCACTCAATTTGCATCACACCATTCAGTTACTGTTATAAAATAAAGTAGATATTGCACTCAATTTGTATCACACCATTCAGTCACTGTTCCACAATGTAGTACCAGAAGATATTGGATGCTGGCCAAGACTGCACTTAGTGCTCATTCCTGACAATACGTCACCCCTTTTGATTTCAATGGTGATGTTAAATCACCAAGTTCCACACCATACTAGTGATCATTAACCATGACAGATGATAATCTACACAGGCAAACTAAAACTGTTGATTGAGCGGTCTGACAACACCCTGTGTACATGAACGTGGTGTGGCTCCATGTAACACTTGGCAGCTAGGCCAGCTCCGGATGCCATGCACTCATGGCGATGACGAATCTGACACACAGACCCGCAGCAGTTCAGCGGTACGGTAACGGGTTAAGTCTGACGAACTTCAACTCTACATAAACATCTTTATACTGCACAGAAGAGAACCCCTCAGGAAAGAAGAGAAAATATTTGCCACAAACCGTTATGTACGGAGGTGCGCAGGCCTTGAATGTACTAACAGGGGAATACTCAGCTCCCTCCTGGTATTCCAGCAGTCTGATCACCAGCCTGCTAATACGGCAAATGGGACACCAGGCTATTTCAGTACCCAGGCTATTTTTAGTGCAGATCCTTCCATAGGCTTCCATGGAGGATGCATGCAGGCAGCATGGTACTCAGAATGAGTCACTCACAGACAATCTTTCTCACACACCACTTCGCCATGAGATGAACACTATCTGTTACTGAATTATATAGTATGTATGGCTGAGCAATATCAGCTGAAAAGTGCCAGGAAATTTTACATGTGTATTGGAAGCACATGAAAGACATTATTCGTGTGGCCAAGGAGGTTATAACCTCCCGGTTCGGCTGTTTGAATTGGCACTGATACAGTTCTCAGGTTAAATTTTACACCTTATTGATTGACCACATCTATTTCTGTAAAGGATCCATCGATCAATCAATAATTTTTTATTAATCAATCAAGAGAAAGCATTCTATAAGATTTGTTTGTTTTGTGTCATATGTTACAAATATGTAACTATGTCTCAACCATCTATCACAGTTGCCTGCAGTAGGACTTGAACATAAATTTTCTCTAGATACAGGCACACTGTACGGTCGGTACCATTTAGTTTTTTTACCGGTGGGTACAGACTAAAAGGAGCAAGGAAAAAATGTTATTGCCTATCAATGAAAAAAATGCTTACATTTGTTAGATATAAAATGCATAAGCTGACATTGGATGTCTTATTATAATGTAAATGACATTATAAGCAAAATATAAATGACGATCATGACATACACAACAATTGTTTGGAAATCAGTCAATAAAATGCTGTTTTCCGAAGGGGTAATTCAACAACCAACCAATGGACGGTGCTGTTCCAGACAATGTGTGACACCCCTGGGATCCTTTACATGTAACTGTTACTATAACAGTTAGATCTATTCAAAGCCATCAAAAAATTCAAATGTTAGTAAAAAATGAATACTGGTATTGGCTCAACCTGCCCTAACATCAAATATTACCATAACGTATACAAATAAAAATGTGTAATTTTTTTTATAGGCGTTGATCCTAAGCCTTGCATGTTTGCAATAAAGAGCGATTTTCTTGGACGTACAAATAATGAAGAGGGCCCATTTGATTTAAAAAGCTCCTTTAACACTTTTCATTAATCCATTTACTCACCTGTGCAATGTGCACATGTATTTTGATACAACATTAGCATTATCACTGTTTCAAAGTTTAACCTCAATGCTTCAAGCAACCGATGATACCGATAAAAAGTAACTACTGGACTTTCCCCCACCAAGAGACCAGCATATCATCCCCCATCAACTACTGTACAGTCCCTCCACTCCCAAACAGTTACGGTAATTGACACAAGATGTGAAACTTCTGCTATTCAACCATCAAACCATAATAAAGCTATCTTCTCCTTTTTCTACACATCATAGTTGATAATTCATGGTCGATGATACGTAACGTTACATTGGCGTGTAGCAAAATTAAGTTTATCAACAAAATTCGGTAGGTGACAGTTCAGTTGCTGGAAAAAGCAGAGACACACATGCGCCAAAAGACACAAATATGTGAACGAGGTGCCACATGGATCTGCCTTCTGATGATGTGAAGTGATAAACAAGGACAACAACTGCAAGACAACAACGGCGATCACAACAGGGCAGATCAAGTTTACCGTGTTCATTACAAAAACTCTGGACTTGACCGATGGAAGACCGCAGCTTGCACGCCTCAGCAGTATGGTGGAGCTCGTACCCAGGTACACAAGTACTGACCAATCAGCAGCTAGAGCCTCGGCCTGTGGTACCCTGGGAACGGGTACTGTACCAGTTACTTCCGGATCTGCCGAGCCGATCGCGAAGTAAGCTAAAATCCCTTGACAATTACTTTAGTTTTGCCGTTTTTTAGCGTTTAAAGTAGATGGTAAGGTTATTTTCTGGGAGCTTAGAAGCAGTAGATCAGCGTCAGTAATCCGGTGAGTGCAGATTGTAAGCATGTTGCGACAAAGGTCTACTATGTTTTATGTTGACTTTCTTGGTTTGGCCCAAGTCTGACATCTAGATCACGAGACTTTCGGCTGATCACAGTCAGGTCATTACCTAGCTTGCTAGGTGTTATATTCTGTTGTTGATCTTTTCGTCGTCTGAACTTTTCTCTAGTCATCAGCCAGTCAGTTTCTTAGCCGGGCCCTTGTGCGCCCTCCCTCCCCATCCTTACGCAGACCACAGAAGTAACACCAAGGCCCAGAACTTTCTAAGATGGCGGATGTTGGTCTTCAGACGTCTGTAAGCCTGGACCAGATCCAGCCAGGTCCAGCTGGTTCAACCATCGTAGGAGTGGAGGAAGAAGAAGGTGTGTTGTTGAAACATTACTTAATTACTTCCCCTTTCAGATTTTGCAATCGTGGTAATTTATCCCACAGCAATCAATGTTTAAACGATGTTAGCTAAATCAACATGACAGTTTGCCCAACTAACAAACTAGTGTCAAGTATTGGAGTATTGTTACAATGTCCTGTGAAGAAGAAGACACTGAAAGAAAGCGTGGTTAGATGACAGTCGGTGTCAAGACTCAACGAAGACAACAACACAATTAGATAAATGTACCTTAAATCTATTATCACATTGAAATGCTTGAATACAGCATTGAAACTGAACAATGGGTGGGGGTGGTAAGTAAAATTCAAGGATTAAAAAAAAGTTAACATTATATACCTGTGAAATATATACATGTATTTTATTCCAGACCAACATCACAGCTAGAACAAGAGGCACAGTGTTATAATTATGTGGCTGAACTACTAGTAATGTGATTATCATTACTAAGTTACGTCACTTGTGAACTTTAGACTCCTGTGTTGCTATTGTGCACTTTCGTGATCCCATTAGAAAGTGACGGTGGAATTCGATACCCCAATGTGGGTGTCGCTTGCAAGTCTACTCAGTCAACAATTCTTTCATCAGGTTTTGTGAACAGTGTTTGAACTGAGGAAAGTCAAACATGAATGTTGCAGTTTATTCATGTATGTTGTATGAAATGAGCTTTCACTTCCTGACAATGAACAGTATTGTACTGTAAGGTCTGGCTAGTAAATCTGTGTTTGAAACTACATGTATGCTTCATGTGTTAACACAGCTAAAATATGTCTTGTATTTGTTATAAAATGAAGAAGATGTGGGTACATTTTCAAATGGACTTTGATTGCAAATTGGCCAAGCATTCGGGCAGGTTGCTGGAGTACAATTTAGTCACACTAGATAGCTTTAAACAACTTAGATGTGCAAAGGTTAGGTATAACAGGTCGTTTGGTGTAATATAGCCAGCTGCCACCACGCTGTGTGCCTGCGAAACTGGTGTGTTAGGCTGAAGTGAAAGCGGGTATACCGGCTATACAGATACAGGAAGGCTAACGTAAGCTGGTTCATTTCTTGTCACAGCGCCTCCTGCAATTGGACAGAGTGCACCAGCAGGACCTCAGTCACCCCACCTGCGAGCGAGAGCCCACCGCCGGACACAGAGTGACCAGCCCTGGACCATGTTCCCCTTCAGCACTCCAGAGGGGTTTGTGGCGGTCAACAAGCCACCCAGCTGGGCAGAAAACGAGATTGAAGCGCTCAAGATAGCAAATAATTACAGGGTTTGTGCATGGCCTTTTGAAGGCTTTTGTCATATTCTACTAAGTAGGTCAATATGTTTGTACATCTGATTCAGCTTTTGTTTGTTAATACATGTAGTTTAGTCACAAAGTAAACTTTGAAATTATCAATGAGTTGTCATGATCCCTTGGTGAAGGTTAGACATCCATGTAATAAGATATGCCAATAAATGTTACTCAAACAACGAAATATGATTTTGGAAACTGTCAGATGTTTCAAGTAGCATCACTACCTTTTGTCAGTAACATGCTGTCATGATTCTTGGTTTGTTGGCAGATATTTAATTTCAGACTTATGGCAGCTGACTTATATTTTATTTTTTTACAAATTTCTTAATGAACAGAATAAGTCAAACCGTTAACCTTTGGATATAAATAGCTGAAAATATAGAATTACTAAACGTATGATTTACTATATTCCTTTCACAGTTTGGCTTTAAGAAGTGGAAGAGCCATGTCACAGCCAGGCCACTGGAGGTCAGATCTGATGTTGTGAAGGAGTTATATTCAGAACCAAGGACAGTCAAACTTATAAAAGGTGTGTGCATTTGCATGTGGCTTGTGCTAAGTTGAAAGTTTGCCATTTTACTAGATTTGCACTGCTATCCCAGTTCTTCTTTCTTTCTTTCTTTTTTTTTCTTTTTTTTTTTCTTTTTTTTCTTTTTATTTTTTGTACTTTATTGACAAAAGGAACAAAAATACATACAGTGTGACACATAGGACAAGCATTGTACAAATACAGAGATAAATTCCTAAAAACTTTACACTATGAAGACAAATCCTTATCGTCTATGTTCAAAACTTGTAAAGTGAGGTACATCTGTACATGCATTTCCTTTAAGTTCATATTGTACAAGTAATACTCCTCTCATGTATGGCCTAAGGTCTATATGGGTGATGCTTTAAACACCACATGATTTGGGGAAGACTTGAACGATTTTAACTGTGTTTCTCTCCATTGGATTCGTATTGGAAACCTTACCATTTTGATTCTTTCTTGGCAGTTCAATTTCGGCAGACTGCAGCTAACTAGTTTATCACAAACTGTATACTTAGTGTTGTGGTCATGTCAAAATCAATTTCAGTTGTTTCTCCTTGTGTCTTGCAGGCTCGACCATCTCCCCAGGAAATGTCCTGTACAGTGTGTTGTTTGGGTGGTGGGTTGCTGCTTTTTATTTCCTGGTGGCTGGACTGATGATGCTGACCTACATCGGCAGAGTATATGGTAAGGATGATGTCCGACCTTGCTCCAGTGGTCATATCAGACATTCAATGCTTTTGCATAAAAATAGTTATTGTTTTACTTGTACTTTATTTCTGCTCCCCTGAAATATGTTGCCTTTGATATCCTGTTACAATATGTATAACTGTGTAATCTAAAATGTGTTGCTGAGATTGCAATACATTATTGTTTCTTTCATAATGATTTGAAATGTTATCTTCATGTTCACAGGTCAGCACTGTTTCAAGTTGGCAAAATATTTCTTTTGGCCCTTTGGGAAGTTTGTCCAAAAGGTAAGAAGTGGTTTTGATTTCTGATTGAAAAACATTTTCATTGTACCAGTAGTAATATTTGTGACTGCACCTGACCATGTATCAATTGAATTTCTTTGTATGGTAAAGTTAGTCCCATAGTCTGTTTAAGTCTGTAGGGTTAGTGGGTTGATGATCCACTGTGTCACAGGTATGTTATTGGAAGGTGGAGCCCTTCTTTCTCCTTCTACCACCTTTAACCTCCCCAACTGGTGTCAGGTACCCATTTTACACCTGGGTGGAGTAAGGAAAGTCGTGTAAAGCGCCATTCTCAATGACACTATGTCTAGCCAGGAATGCCACGACCTCTTGGTCTTATGTCTGGTTACCTTACCATTTGGCCACACAGATTAGTGCAATATTGCATTTATTATTGTTGCTTTGTTGATAATCATCAGGACAGAGAAGGGGAGGAACATTCACTTCACAACAGCTCAGTTCATAACAGCTACGAGAGTTTTGAGTCCAGTGAATCCACACCGCTGGTGTCTAGTACCAGAAGCAGGAATGGCAGGAGAGGCTGCTGTGGCACAACTACTGAATACTGGGTGAGTTACAAGGACATAGCATCACAAAGCCGAACAAAAAAAAAAGAAAAAACTTTATACCTTCAGCTTTGAAGTTGTACTTTAAGAACTCATGTTTCTTTTACTTGCAATAGATTTTAATCTTGCTTTTGTAATGATAATTGATATCTATGTAATATAGTTGATTGAAAAGCCATACATTTTGACATAAGGTATGAAAGGATGTTTTATTGTAGTTTTCTACCCATTCATGTCACATGTACCAGTTGGAATAATGCTGAATCTGCATCTGTTGTAGCACAAGCCAGAGACGTATGTTTGGCTGGTCCTGGGGGCACCGCTGCTGTTTGTGATCCATGCCCTGGTGTACTTTGTATGCTGGATCCTGGTGGTCTTCATACCTGTGGCAAAGGTAGTCATATCAACAACATTTCTTTAGTCACTCAGTGTGAGTTTAACTGATAAGTTAGCATGGTGTGCAGTTTCTAGTGATGATGACATAGGTTCATTTTGATGCTATTGGTAACGTGTTACCTGTAGCATGAGTGAAAAGTTGACATAGAGAATGTGACCCCTGTTACAGGTTAACGGCCATGCCATCAAGATGCTTCTTATGCCACCTGGGTCCATCCGGATAGAGAGCGACAGCATGGTAAGGAATAGGCATAGAAAGGTACATTTCATACCTTTCTGTAATTAAAGAAATGAAAAAAAATATAATCATTTTAGTATATGTAGCTATCTAGAATTTGGAATAATCGTATTATTTTTAGCTCTTATATGCTTATTCTACTGGCTACATATTACACTTTGTCAACAATTCAATGTACTACATGCATGCAATTGTAATCTTGGGGGAAAGGTATGTTGAAGGTATGTTTGCTGGTCAATGTTGTATGTATGAATTGTTGTATTGTTTGTTGACCACAGCATGCAGCCCAGCAGCCCAGTGAAGTGATAGTCTGTACCTACCAGGCTGTGAATGTGTACTACTACAAGTACACTGTGGATGGCATGAACATTGTTCTTGTCAGTATCCTTTCTGTGACCAGAACAAAGACAAAACTTGACACATTGACGGAAGGGAAAAGGGGGTGAAAGACAAATTGTAACAATGAGTTCACGGTACAGAAGTGACTATGGAAACCACGAACATAACAGTACAGTGGAAAAACGAATTACAGTTACTGTATGTTTTTTGAGCTCATCTGTATATATGATATCCTCACTTCATACATGAAAAGTCAAGGGAGCTTTACTACATGTGATAATATAACATGTTGCACTTAACTACACAATTACATCTATATACATGACTTTTCAATAAATGCCTGTGAAATGTGCTGTTACCCTTAACTCACTTGTGTTCAGACCTGCTGCTGTTTGTGGTTCTGGCTCTGATTGCAGGATATGGAGACAAGGAAAACCACTATACCTCACCTACTGCAGTAGGTTTCAGACATTTCCCTATAGATCATTTTATCAGTAGACTGCGACAATAGCCCCCACCCACCTCCATACAGTAAATCTCTCATTGGTCAAACTGCTAATTGCCATTCCTTCATTGGTTGAACTGCTGATTGTGATTGACAGTCGGGGTCAGTCAATTGTCTAGAGGCTTACTCTTTAACTTATTAAGCTACTGACCTTATTCATACTGATCACAAAGGTAATACTTGTATTAAAACATTGACTTCAATCGGTAAAACTTACAGTAAGACAGGCTCAACATTTTATGATTTTACCTTGATATCTGCTGCAGTATACATGTATTTCATGCATATTTATACATCAATTGTAACTATATATGTTCAATCTTTTACCCTACAGAAATTTGTGATCTCTCTCCTTGCCATCATACCATTGGCCTATTATATTGGACTGTCCATTGCCAGGTAAGCATGCAACTTTCCTTATCCCAATAAGCCTATTCGCCATTACCGGCGCGAAATGCATGATGGGTAATATCCGCCATTTTGAGAGATAAACAAAACCGCGTCGCCCCGCGACACAGCGAGCGCGGGTGTCGAATCCCGCTACGTAGCTAAAAAAAATGAGTTTACCCGGGCCGTAAGTGGAGATTTTATATCTTATTGGACGGCAAAGATGACAGACGTTTCTTGGTTGAGGTTAGACTGCCGGTAACTGCCGGTTTTCAAGGCGTTTCCGCGAGTCACGTCCAGGGGGAAAAGCCTACAACTTCAAGGCGCATACAACTTCGTATGCTTAAAAGAATCACGACGCGGTTGCCGAATTCGCCGAAGACAGCAGCAGGTTCAGTTGTGAATGTCAAGAATTATAGTCAAGAATAAAAAAACTCACCTATTCTCGGCCCGGTGGGCTTCACGGAAGGGTAGTTCGTCGAACCGAAGGACGACGTCAAAGGATGCCCCTCCCCCCCGCACTTAAAAATCGGCCCAGCACTGATCATGGCCGCTGATCATGAGTTTAGCGAGCCGGCCCTGTGCCTCCCATACTACGTAAACGGCTGTCGGGCGACTATGATGAGGAGAAAACATACTCCTACTTCGACTTTGAATGGGTAAGCGAAGTCCCTTACCACCATATTACCCCAACTGCAGACAGAAATTGCTTCCTCAAACGACTAGGCACATCTTACCTCCTTAGTCCACACTGTCTTGGCCGCGGAGACGAACTTGTCCACAGACCCAGGATACAGAACCAAAGACATAACAGTAGTATTCAAGCAACCATGGCATTAATTTTCTTTGAAGAACCTTGTGTTTAGTAAAGGATTGTTGCATGTTGCCAGTAATACTTGTGTTAGTGTACAGGTCTTTCTCAACATATATGGCATTGTATATTTAATATTATATTTCCTATGCACCATTCATTAAGTGCTGTCCACATATAGAGAGATATGGGAATAAGAAAAATATCAAAATGGTGCTTGTTTTGTTTTCTTTATAGTATAAACATGTATGTAACAGTACAATCAGTGTCCAGGGAAATAGTAATTGAAAGGTTATCTGAGTTGGTAAGTTACATATTTTATTTAAAAAAAAACTAGTTCTCCAACTCAAGAAATTTGAGTTTTCAACTATATCTGTCTTCATCAACTATCTGAGCCAAGTGCTGTGGCATTATATTTTCTACATCACTTTGATTGCAGAGCTGTTTGTGTGTTAACACAGTAAGTTTATGTTTAACGGTGCTTGTATGTTTTCTATCACAGTGTGAATGTTTACAGTAATCTAGTAATCGCCATCGTACAACCTATGCTGTCTAGCAAATATTATTTAGTATTTAGACAATAAACCGGATAGTGAATGTGAGTGAGTATGTAGTACTGTCGATGCAGTTAACTGACTTGTTTTTCTTGTGTTTGGTCAGAAAAACAACAAGAGAGTAGTTACAAATTAAATATTCCACTTTCAAGATCCAAACGCAGGGGTCAGGTGTTTGGTGTAAGTAGTGTAAATGACTGGAGTTCTCTACATACACCTGATCTTATGGTCAACAGTCAGTGGAAAAGATCTAAACTTAAGTACTAGTACTTAGACCATCACTGGGAGCACCTGTGGTGCAGGCACGAAGGAGTCAACTACACCAGTTCACCACAGCTTTCTCAACTGCATGCGGAAAAGGGTATCTTAAGTGGTAAATATAATGTTAATGACTTGACATCATGTTCAAATATATTATTTTCCACTAATTCAAGTTAATAAGTGAAAAGATAATCATATTGAATCTATTTACAGCAGACCCTTGTTAGACTAAAAGTCTGTACCAGTTTAGCAGTATTACTGCACAGAACTATCAAAATTCAGTACATAAAATATCTGTCATGATTACAATTTGCAGCACTGTTTATGTGCGGGTTACAATATACTTTCATGAAACCATTTCAGAACTTAAGTGTACTTGTATTTTTAGTATATTCCATCTGGGTTTGCTTCAAGCTTGTTCATAAGTTTATTCCCTCTTCTCCTAGCATGAGGTTTTTTCTTCTCATAGGAAAATGGTCCACTTTTTGTACCATGTATTTGGCATGTCTCTTCCATTTTTCTAGATGGTAAGTTGAATTGCTGCAATTCACTACTGCACACAGCTTCATGTTGAGGTCGGGAAAGTAACACTGTAAAAAGAAGAAGAGAGAAAAATTGAACCAAAAGTTGATGGATTTACGTTCAAAACATCAAGTCTTGAATGCACTAATGCAATGGCATTTGCATGCACAAAACCCCCATGGCCCTACGTATCCCGCTACGAAAACCACACTAAATATTTATAAACATATAGATGTCATCACTGCTTGTACTATTCCTAAATCATTATTTTAATCGGTAATAATGTCGTGGTGAGACGGTGAGGATTGTGGTTAGAAAGCTCTATGTGCTTGGGGTGACACAAGAACACGTAGTGTATCGGTCTTCTGAAGACAAAGCTCATGCAGTTTATTTACAATTTTTACCGACTAAAACTGAAAAATTCCACCATTATCTTACACAAATAACCACTCTTACACGAAAAAAGGTATTCCAAAACTCGTTTTATCGAGATTGGACCGGAAAATTGAGCGGAAAACGTGAAGACGGAAGGCGTGCAGGATGGGGGAGGGGGGCATGCATAAGTAATTAGGCGCTAGCGCTAGCTTGGATACCGTCAAAAAACGTACCGTAAATCCACTTGAAGATAAAGATATCGCGATATTTTAGGCAAGATAGGTCCAGAACATCGTTGGAACTCAGCCCAAGGCGGGCCACCACCGGTAACGCCGTGTGTAAGCTGGAAATCGAGACATACGCTGGCGCTGGGGACGATTGCGGCCGCGGGTTTGTTTATCTCCAATTCTGGGTCGCTAAGTAAACTCCGCGCAGGCGCACTAGTAATGGCGAATAGGCTTATGGTCTACAGCATTTTACTATTTATTATTGCTATCAGAAAAACTATCCATGGATCTGAGTTGTCTACACAAGGTTGATAAGTTGTATGTAACCACCTGTAAATAAATACACCACTTTGGAAAACAATGTGTTTGAGAGATCTCTCTCAATGTGCAGCACCCCCCAAATATGCACATTATAGACATGCAAGAGCACATTATACTGGGAAACATTGCATTGGAGATCTGTTTTGAGGCGCATTTTGTCAGGGTCACAGATATACTAAGTATGTGACATGGTGAAATTATATTTAGTATATCTCTTGGCTTGGCATATACATTTAGTATATACATGTATTATATTTAGACATATTAAGCACAAAAAATGACTTGGAACTTCAAGAATGTCTATTATAATAGATGAGATTGATTCTAAGTTATTCTAACAATACATGATCTTGTTGCCAGTATTGCAGCACAGAGTAACTTTGCGGTTGGTGCTGTCCTGAACGCTACGTTTGGCTCTGTCGTGGAGTTGACCTTGTACATAACTGCCCTGGTGAAGGGCGCGGAACATGCCAACAACTGCTACTCAGAACTGGTCAAATCTGCTCTCACAGGTGGGGGAAAATTCTAGACACTTCTGATGAACAGGACTTGGTTTTTGATTGAGTTAAATGTACAAAAATGTTTTAAAACGCATTCTTATATTTCCAACTTGTCCCAATTTGCAGATATTCATTTTGTAGCAAACTTTCATTTATTTTACCCAGGAAATAAAAAAAAATGATGAGTATCTATTAAACTTTGTTAACTATCTTGTTTCAGGAACACTCCTCGGTACTATGTTGTTCATCCCAGTAAGTTGCTCATTTTCTATTTTTATGTTCTTAATATTGAAGAAAGACTGGTTGTCAAAAAAGTATTTACGGGCCTTCTTTACTGTGTTGTTGCACATGAGTGCGGTAAGTTTGGCTGATGTGTTTTAATGTGTTCCAGGGTTTGTGCATGATCATTGGTGGACTGAAACACCATGAACAGTTCTTCAACCTGAGATCAGCGGGAGTCAGCTCAACTCTGCTGTTTGTATCTGTGGCAGGTAGGCAGGACACAAACATGTACAACAGTCATGTTGGTATCTCTTTCATGTATTCCTGTAGTGTTGGGCTGGGAACCATGTTTTCTTATAGTAGAAAGTATTGCAGAAAGTACTTGTAACTGCTGCCTTTTTAACTAACTATTGTGGTATCTTCCAATGGACTGACTTGCAGTTATATTAATATAAAGCACTAACTTGCAGGAATATATAACTGTATAGAATATGATAATACATGTATACACAGTGTTGTTTGGAACTTGTCTTTAAAAAAGGGTCTAATGTTACCTTTTCTACACAGGTGCTTTTGCTCCCACCATCTTCTCCAAGTTCTACGGCAGTATCGTCTGCTCAGTAAGTTTTTTTTTTTTTTTCGTATTGCCTTTCTATCCAATGAGTGTCCATCGTTGTGCTTTTTGTAGTTTGAGTTTAATTTCTGACATCTGTTCTGTTGTTTTCCAGAGTTGTAATAACGTCACAAGTTGGTCCAACATCAACGACTCCCAGCTGACAGCGACCGGGCCCAGCAGCTCCTTCATGTGCTCAGACTGTCACCAGGAAGTGGTGAGTTTCACTTCTAACAAGTCCTAAGGCCACACCATTTTAATCAACTTGTGAAGAACACCATTATATTTGTGAAGCAAACCATCATTTAATGGATAAAGCACAACATTTACAAAAGCATGAAATATTTCATGGAGGTATGACATGTTTGAACTCTTGTTTAATAGTGCTATTCTTTCTTTCTAAAGTTTGACCAAGAGGGAACATTGTTCAATGAGCACATCAAGTGAGTGTTTTGGATTACTTTTCTTCAACCTTTACTTTACTGTCATTTCAGGAAATATTCTACACTGACTGTTGAAAGATCATTAGATTCACGGATCAATGACTTATGGTCATTTCTATATGTTACCTATTAATTTTCTTTTGTTGAAACAAGTTGCAATGTAAAGTCGGTAACTTTCCTCTGGGAAGTAGGTTTTCCAATAGTTAGATCCTGACTGCCTATCACAATTAGCAGATTAACCAATCAGAAAATGGCAATTAGTGGTTTGACCAATGAGAGATTGGCTGCAGGTCAAGAAAAAATTTTGCATTTCGCATTGCATGACGAAGGGATTAGTTGATTTGTCTGCTTTCCATTCCCCAGAATACAATGTGGAAGCTATTACGTAGTGTTTTCTATGAAATCAACTTGGTGACTACAGTTTTCTGCTTTCCTGCATTTATCCAGGCCCCTGATCTACACCTGTGCCATACTGCTGCCCCTGGCCTACATCTCTGGTCTGTTGTTCACACTGAAAACTCACTCTCACATCTACGATGTGAAGACAGAGGACAACAACACAGCTCCTAATCAACCAGGTACCCACTTCCTTCAGCAGAAATAGGCATTTTCCATGTGTTTAGGTAAAATTAACGCAGTTGTCATTTGTAGTGTAAGTTTGACGCATTTTTTATTAGCTAATACTTGCTACAACTTGTTTTAACAGCTAAACACACTGGGTCACCCCTACACTTCTTGAGTGTAGTATTTGTGTTGGATTTTGGGGTTTGTTTTTTAGACAGGCAGAGGCTTTCCCATACGACTGACATCTTACTGTCCTTAGGAGCTTAACATTCCCTCTTCAGTCTTAAGGATAAATACATTCATAACCAGCCATGTCCAAGGCTTGAACCCCTACCCTCTGGACCCACAGAATTTGACCAAGAGGCAAAGCCGCTTTTGCCATAGAGACAAGACCTATAATTGTCATTTCTATTGTTTTATCGTGTACATTGTATGTGTTGTATCACTTAAATCAGCTCTTATGATTTCCAGATCACAATGACAGCCACAGCACCATTGCCCACTGGTCCCGTCTGAAGGGAGTGACCATCCTGCTGGTCGGGACAGTACTGATGTCCCTGTGTGCCGACCTTGTCACAGAGAACATGCAGCCTATTTTAACTGGCTCTGGGGTGTCACAGGTTAGATCATAAGATGCTTATAAGCTTCCCAATATATCTATCATCAAGAATTAAAGACTTTTCATTTCCACAAGAAATCAAACCCCATATTAGTAACGTAGATATAGAAACTACCATGGACCAGCAACATAATTTAATCCTCATTGTTTGTCTCACACATATACTCACTTACTTTATGATAAGATTTTAGCTTTACTTCAGAATTCAGGATGGTATGTGACAGGGTTGAGGTGTAGTCAAGTACATGTACAAGTATCATCTGATGCAAAGTGATCTTCACTTACAAGATTTTTTGAGTGAGATATTTTCATCAAACTATGCCACTTACTAGTATTTTGTAGTAAAAATATATGACAACAGCTCATGATTCTTTTGTGTTTTGCAGAGACTAACTGTTTAACTGTAAGTTAATAAAGACACTGTTTCTCCTCACAGTACTTCATTGGAGTGACGTTGTTAGCCCTGGTACCGGATACTCCTGAGATTGTCAACGGCATCCAGTTTGCACTGCAGAATAACCTCAGTCTCAGGTAAACCATCAACATGTAATGTTACAGACTTGTGGAATGTTATCATAGTTCAGACAGTAGAATTGACATGTCTGGAATTGTTATAGAATTGAAAACTGCATGAAAACAATGGCCATGACCAGTATTACATGGGTATTTGAGAAAAACTCCTCAACCATTCATTCATTTATTCTTTTTTTGTTCTTTTTGTTCTTTCACTCACTCACTGTTTGTCTCTTCTAGTATTGAGGTAGGCAGCTCCATCGCTGTGCAGGTGTGCTTGTTACAGATGCCTGTTCTTGTCCTGGTCAACACCATCCATGTGAGTACATTACATCACCACATAACATACTAGGGGTCTACAGGATTTTTGTTTAGTCTACATGACATCTCTCTACAATACTGTAATTCACTTTGCTGTCATGGTAGCAAAATTGGGCAGTCTGGGGAAAAAGACATGTTTACAGAACTTGGTGAGAAAGAGTGGACTTGGTCCGGGCAATCCGCCCGACCTGATGATGATGATGACAGAACTTAATCTTAATGGTTTCAGCTAGTTCAGGGTGGGGGTTGCAACAAACAATTTGATAACGGTAACACTAAGAACAGTACAGAAGTGAATATAAGAGTTCAGGAATTACAGTCCCCTCTGCAGGATTACATAACAGTATGTTGTGAAGGAAGGATTTGATGTCTTTAGCCTTTTGAACTGGAGGCAGCCATGTTGTTTTTTTGCTGATGAGTCTTGTGCCCTCTGCCCTGTAGGAGATTGGCTTCCAGCTGCTGTTTATAGACCTACACTTGTGGTCGGTTCTCTTCAGTGTGCTGGTCATGAACTATATCTTTATGGATGGCAAGTGTGACTACTTCCAAGGTAGGCATAAAAATGGTTTGTGATAAAGCCACAGCAATTTAATTTGTTACTTCTCATCTTGATTTTCTCCCATACAATGTTAGGTGGTATTTTTGAGCCCTTTATGTTAGATACTACTAAAGTGCTGCCAATGTATTGTACTATCAACTTCCTTTAGAATCTACTTGTATTCTTGACAGCATGAGACTAAGATAAACACCTTACTAGGTACTCTTAGTACATGTAATACCACTTCTTCTCCAAGAAGACTGGAAGTTCTTGCTGTAGATTGAAGGCAAAATTAAATTTGATTCCTGTAGAGGTCTATTAGTGTAAAATTGTGCCTTTAGCATTACATCTTGAAGTTTGTGCATTTTACTGTTTCTTCATAGAAAATTCACTCTTAATATTATAACACTAACAGCTGTAATCCATGAGTGCATAGCATGGTGTCTGAAATGATGTGTACTGTGTGTTTATTTTGTTACAGGGTCTGCCATGTGTATTGTATACCTCATCATTGTAGCAATGTACTTCTTCGCTCCCAATCCTGAGGGCTGCTGAAATCCCTGAAACTGTGCCACGATTCTACCAACTATGCCTTATTGTAGAGGGCTCGGAATACTTTTTCTGCATTACTGCACTGGTTCAGGTAACATTGAAAAATTACCTGCACCAGATAAGTTTTACCTGTACCACTAAAATTTAGGAAGTATGGGTCACACTAAAACTGTTCAGAAACCATTGCCATTATTTCTTTCATACTTCATAGAGGGCAACACTAACAGTCAATGCAGCAAAATAACAATCCACATACACCTGCATTTGTATATAAACCCAGTGCAGGTAGACATCAGAAATACCTGCACAGCTCCAATTTTACCTGCACTAAACTGCATATGCAGGTGGTATTTTTGAGCCCTTCATGTTAGATACTACTGAAGTGCTGCCAATGTACTACATTGTAGTATTGTACTATCAACTTCCTTTTGAGGGATGTCTTAGATGAGCTAAATCATGTTGCTATATATATCATGATGATGTTGCTATTATTATTATTATTACAATGTATTAGCTGGGAGGAATTTTGCTGCTATATGAAAATATAAATGGTGTCCTAGTCTTTCATTCCAGAATGACATATTGTCTGGATGCTGCATAAACTCTAAACCTTATTCATCCTTAAAAAATGCTGCATAAGTTGAAATTATTCCTATACATAATGAGGTAAAGAAGCAAATGTTGCCAAGGATGGCTAGTCATATGAACAGCCTACTTTTTTTTCTATAAAAATCTGTTGTCTGTCTTGAAATGTTGGCATAATTTTAGGACATATCTGTTATTGAGAAATGCTGCCAAGAGGTCTCTCTTACTTAATATTTAGGAAATATGTAAGTATATATATATAAATATTACATGTATATTATGTATCCAGAATGTTTCATTTATTCTGTCAATTAGAAGTGAACTATGTATTTGCAGTCCATTTTGACATACTGTATGATAGCAGTTTTTAAAAAAAAGTACCACTATTATTAATGTATTTTGTTTTGAATTTTGTTTATCATTATACACCTGTACAATGCATGAAATAGTCCACTAAGTGTGACTACTAGTTAGCCTTGTCATCCTGCCATGTTTTTTTTATCCGATATACAAAATGTACTCGCTCTTATACCTACAACATCTCAGGTAGTTCATCTATGTATTGAAATTATCGCTGCATTTTATATCCTCTTTAAAAAATAGCTAAATTTGCAGTATGCAAATTACTCTTCATCTTTTTAGAAGTAAATTGCCAAACAGTATTTTTATATGTACTTAATATTGAAATGAGTGACATCAGTTTGGAAACAATATGTATACATGAAGAACGTGATATATCATATCAAGTAATATGAAAGTGTAAAACATTTTATACAAATTTTAGAGTGGTGTTCCTGCCATCCTTCTTGAATGTAGTATATGACCATGCACTGAGACTTATATAAATCTTGTTGTCATGTCCTCATGATCTACACTTGATTGTGTTTCTTTTGTTGATTCATTCTAATTCTAATTCTAGAATTATGTTTCACTTTCTATTAGGAGACGAAAGGCTATTGGGCAAGACAAAGAATAGTTTTTTCCGTGTATCTGGTAGCAAAGTAGAAAAGTCTCATAAGGGGATATGGTAGCACTTGGAACTGCACACTGAGCCGCGAAAGTTGATCTATAAATGGCTAATGCGCAATTGAAAGTATTTCAACTAAGTAAGAAACAGTTAGGCAGAATTGTAATTAGGATGTATCAGTTTTTCATTATCAACGAATGGTAGGTATGTTTTAATAGTTTTTAGGGAAGCATAAGAACTGAAATGGCAGCAATATCGACGAAAGAGCTCCGTATTCAGCTGCTCGTAAAAGTCGTATTAATAAAGTTAGTCTCAAAATGAACAGATGCTGGACTAAACTGGTTCTTTCCTGATAAATTCGTGATAATTAGGCAGTCCGGGCGAGCCTCAAGGTCAAGAACAAGAGCAGGAAAGAACTAGAGCAAAAACCCCATAAGAGCCCATCGCGTTTCCCCACTCGCGAAATGGCCAAATCTGGGAATGAGCGAGGCTTCTTTAGCGAGATACGGCCCTTTTCGGAACGGGTGCTCCAAAACGGGGGTGTGATAGGGGATGAATTTTCGCTTTTTTATTTTTAGAAAAAAGAAACTTTTCACATTTTAAAGCCTCCTTCTTTTCAGAGTATACTTCTTACCGCCTCTACTCCATTTCTACTTAATACCGTCCATCAAATTTGCTCCATTCTCGAGTTATGTGGTAAAAAGTGATTTTGCGATCAGCTGATCGTTTGCAGAACTGGCCAAATCCTTCGCGGAAGCGAAATTTTGGCAGTCGATCTCATTACCATATGAATGAAATCCAAGCAGATGTCAGATGTATAGTATGACAATCTTCAAGAAGGTTACGATTTTACGTCTGATATCTGCTTGGTTTTCATTTATATGGTAATGAAAAGACAACGAAAATTTCGCTTCTGCGAAGGATTTTACCAGTTCTGCAAGCGATCAGCTGATCGCGAAACCACGTTTTACCGCATAACTTGAGAATGGAACAAATTTGATGGACGGTATTAAGTAGGAATGGAGTAGAGGCGGTAAGAAGTATACTCTGAAAAGAAGGAGGCTTTAAAATGTGAAAAGTTTCTTTTTTCTAAAAATAAAAAAGCGAAAATTCATCCCCTATCACACCCCCGTTTTGAAGCACCCGTTCCGAGAAGGGCCGTATCTCGCTAAAGAAGCCTCGCTCATTCCCAGATTTGGCCATTTCGCGACTTGGGAAACGCGATGGGCTCTTATGGGGTTTTTACTCCCGTTCTTTCCTTCTCTTGTTCTTGACCTTGAGGCTCACCCGGACTGCCTAATTATCACGAATGTATCAGAAAAGAACCAATGTAGTCCTGCATCTGTTCATTTTGAGACAAGCATTTTTAATACGACTTTTATGAGCAGCTGAATACGAAGCTTGTTCGTAAATATTTCTGCCAATTTAGTTTCACGATTAAAAAAAACGTATCGTTCGTTGAGAATGAAGCTCGAATACATCTTTAGCACAATTCTGCTAAACAGTTTCTTACTCTGTTAAAATATTTTCGATTGCGTATTAGCCACTTATAGATCAACTTTCTCGGTTCTACTAGCATACTACTATGCCCTCTAAACTAGGTATACTCCCCATCTACTTTATTCCCCTTTGGCATTCAATAAAACACACAAAAACACATCACACAATAATCCAACGTCCATCGCTAGGAAACTTTATTTTTTTAGTGACATCATATAGCTACCGATAGCGTAAATTCTCCATTAAATGAGTCAGACTTTAAGATACTAGTAGCATCTGACATCACATCCTCTCAGTCACAGTGCTTAGCGTAAATGTAGTTCAGTATCATTGACTATCAGAAGTCTACATGTAACGTTACATAGATTCCTGTTGAAAAATAGTATCATACTTATCATGCTCTAGTCGATCCATACCTCAGTCAGCGTCCCGAAACGGTTCCTATTCTAAACTGGCCAAAGACTCTACTCTTTACCGTAGTTACATTGTATGTATACGTAAATACACGGTGTACACTTTCTATAACTTTTTACCACCTTGTAGAGAAGAGCCATACACTAGAGGCGTAGCTGGATCCGCGGTCGGGTCGCCCCTCCCCTTCGGAGATCATGAGGGCCAGCTGAACTTGAACGTCTGCACCAGCCGCCCCCAGCAAGAGTAGAGGAAGATGTCAGCTCAGTCCACCGGTCTACCCGGTCGTGCCGAGCTGTGCATACTAGTGAAGAGCACTCTGCAAAACACAGGCAGAAGAATCTGTGTAGCAATGTATTTGCTTATGCCGAACTTCAGAAGAAACACAGGAAGCCAACCATCGCATCCATGTAAACATTGATACGCAAAAAATACTACCTGTCCTCATAGTGAAGCTTACTTGGGCTCCAAGATCAACGTGAAGAAACGATATGTTGACTGCAAACTTCACTCAGCGAGTTTTGAAACTCCTTCCTTCTCAGTCAACAAGTCTGTAACCTTTGATCCTTTCATATCTGACCTAATTTTCTCGCCTGATGAAAACAAATGTCGCAATATGTCAGTCTAACTGAATCACGCACCTGCTTATTCTCCTCTCGAAGTAACTTTTAGTAGACGGTCTCACAGCGACACCTAGCACTTGTATCAGTAATGCAGTACTAAGCTCGTCATAGGCGCCATCTTACCTACATGCTGATTGGTTGTCACTGTAATGACTTATGTCCAAATAAGGGATCATCTTCGAGATCTAATGTAGATGCTGATTGGTTAACAGAATTTTGACGTAGTTTATGCCCAAATAAGGACAAATGGTTGTCCTGTTTTGTTTTGTCAACGTTGTAAGAAAATATAGAATTTTGTTTCACAGTGAGACTATTTTAGCTCCAGATGAACACTACAGTTGACCAGACGGCCCTGTTTGTGACGGGCTGCATTTCTGCCACGAGTGGGGCGAAAAAATGTACAAAGTCAAGCGATCGTGACTGGTAATATGAGGCCCGATTAAATGTTTATTGGATGAAGTACCTACATTCGCCACTGGGCGGCGCTTTTTGGAGACCAGTAAGCAGTGCACGAATACCCGTTTAATAGCTGGAACACTACCATCCGTCACTAGGAGGCGCTTTTTGTGAGACCGTAAAAGCAGCTATTAAGATAATTCTGGTAGGATTACATTGCACATACAACAGTACATTCTTTTATTACTGTTCCCTATCTTAGAAAAATCCCTCCTTTTACAAGTTTCGCGATTTTGGTATCATTTAACTCCTGCTGTTTTAAACCAGAAAATTGAAAATAAAAAAAAAGCTGACATACACGATATATGTTCCATACAATTAACACACTGCATGTGGAAAGTTCTCCTGGTTTATTCATTCCATTCTATGCACATTTACATCTTTGGAGTATCTTTGAAAGTGATAAACTTAAGAGTCCAAGAGAACAATAGTTATACAAAGAATTAAACTGCAGACACAACAAACATTGTATCTCATATAATTTGAGTTCTTTAGTGGTACAAATATGCAAACATTAAATCTACACTGCAATCACAAACAAGACTACATCCTTTAGCAGTTAACTCCAGACAGCATCATCGCAAAAAAAATCTACAACTCAATATATATTTTATATTGTATCTGTTCACCATTACAAATCAATACCTCTTACACCTATAAAATCAAACTGGCTGATTGTCTTGTCTATATCTGTCACTACTATTGGTAAATCATTCAAAAGAAGAAACCCTGGAAAAAACTGTAAGTGGCAAGAAAAGTGGTGAAAAGAAGCATTTGAAGTCAAAGTCTTCAGAAGTAAAAAAAAGGATGCTGTCTTATGTAGTTCTATAGATCTCTGATACATTAATTTTCAGGTCTATGTCACCTTTTAGTAGTGAATGGATCTGTCATGGACAAACCATTTATAATATTTCATGAAACATGAGATATTCTGGGAGCTGCAACGGAGTACATTGAAAGATGCAGAAATATTAATATAAGCAAGCGTTGCATTGATAATTTTACGTTGTTGCTGGATTCCAAGAGACACCAGCACAGCAGGTATGACGGTTAGTTCCACCAGTGGGTCTGGCAATGTTCCACAGCCTGGAAAAAAAGCACAACTCAAGTTCACTTTAACATCATGAAATCTGTTATCTTTGATAGAAATAAGATGGTATGATAAATGTGATAACACAAGTAGAAATCTCAAGAATATGTAAGGTTCATTTTATACAGCTGGTTGTATATACATGTACATAACTGTGTACAGGAAGAGACAAAACTATACATTCTATCCTTTTGCTCCTTCTGGCTTCATTTTCCACCTTTTCACTCTTTTTTTCACTTTCTGTTCACCACTTAGAAAAGGTACATATTTGTGCACACTCACATCACAGGCTTTGGCCTGTTCCATCCCACTGCACCAGTACCCAGGCCCCAGGTTGCACAGGTTGTCTTTGCTGTCACACGCTCCAACCTTCTGTAGTAACACAAGGAAACAAGCACAACATCAGCACAACTACCGATATCTCAACAGCCATACATACCATACATTTATTCAATATCATCATGATATCGACTTGACGAAAGAACACAGGAGTCTTAAAGAATTGTATTGGACTACGTCATCAGAATATGGGAATAAAAATGTTTGGATGGGAAACAAGGAAAACTAATCCATGAGCTTCTTTTGAGTTTACAAGAAGTTACAAAAACGTTTGTCCGTCCGAGCTGTGAATACGCGGCGCCCACCTGGCATCCTGGACTGACTACCAGACAACGTCACAGGATCGAGTATATCCAGAAACGCGCGTGTCGAGTAATACTCGGGTCAGCTTATACTTCATACCCCGAGGCATGTGCAACACTGGACTTACCTACGCTAGAAGACCGAAGGGTCCAACTTTGCCTGAACTTTGCTATGAAAGTTCTCAGATCACAGGACTTCCAACACTGGCTACCGCCCAGGAGGGGCTCCACCACTGAGCGCACCACTCGTTCCAGTAACAAACTGACCCTTACCAAATGTAGAACTGAGCGGTACAAACAGAGTAGCGTCCCATACATGGCCTACCTCCTGAACAGTCACTATTTGTGTTAGACACCGTACGTTAAAGTCGTTGTGAATAATGCCTGTGTTAATGCCTGTGTAAATAAATGTAAATAAATGTGTAATGAATTTGCATGTACAACTGGACGCAATTCAGCCTTTGGCTGCAAAGTCCACGTTTTTTTACGAATAAAAACACCATTTGAAGTACCGGTAACTGTCAGACATGCAAACATGCACGACTGTCTTGCATTTTTCTTACCGTGCAGACAAAGTCTGGATCAAGAGCCTGCTCCATCAGTTCTGCAATGGCATCACCATACTGCTCCACAACAGTGTGGCACTAGATGGGAAACAGTCGTATAGAACACAACATAACTACATGTATGTGAAGCAAAAGAATGTGCAAAACATGTTATACAAACACAAACTATTCAATCATTTCTTCGGCACTTACAGTTTCCCCATCACTTGTTTGGCCTGTGTTGTACACATGTACATGTAGTAGGAATCTATTATTCCATTGAATGGCAATATTCATAAATGTATGTACATGTACTGTATGGAATATCTCCTACTTTGACCTTTGAAATAACAGACTGTCCCCACCTCTGTCTTGACGCTTGATGGCAGGAAGTTGCAGATCTTGTCCACCACATCCTTAATTTCCTTCTTTGTTGAGTTTTCCAGGAGCAGAGAGTCAGCATACTGTACCAGGATCTTACACACAGGGCACAGCTCGGACCCTACTCCTGTTGGGAACATAGGCAAGTTAGCAAGGATTTTTTTTGCAGGCACTAAGTTAGAATAGAAGATGACCTTCCATAATGTTAGAGGCACTGAAAAGTCCTACGACCCAAATCTTCTTCTTTTTTTTCAAATCTGTTTCCCCCATGCCCTTTGGTCTTGGGTTACTCCCAAGAAAAACCCATTCCTGACTTTGTACTTTTCCCATTAACAAACTAATATTGATTAGAAATATATCCTCTTTCATGGTAGCATACATTCACTATCTTTCATTTTTACTGGAAATTCAAAGGTACATGTAAATTTGCTGTACTGTGATTTTCAGTGAGAAACTTTATCAGGTTGATATATAATTAATTGGAAAATAAGGTTTGGTAACACAATCTCAAGGACATTTACCTCAGGTTACTGTACAGTAACAATGGTCGGGTTACTGTCTTTTAATAACAGGTCGTGCTGTAAGAACCTGTAGTACATGCACTACTTTTGAATTTCTACATGTGACATCTTTCCCAAAAAATACCTACCTTTCACAAGCCTGACAGAGTTGGACTCATCACACAGGCCGATGGTCTTACAGATGCGCTGGGGGTCCAACTCCAGCTTCAGCAGCTGAATGACGGCAGGACCGTACTCGTTCACGAAGTCCGTGCACTCGTCGCGGATGGTGTCGGGGAAGTGGCTGCACACCTTGTCCAGCGCATCAGTGATCTCTTTCTGATGACACAAACAAAAATGTTTGTACCCAGTATTAGAGAAGGGTTTGTAAGGTAATATAGCTAAGTGTGGTCAAGTGGATGAGTGGTTAGGCTAGCGGATATGAGACTGAGAGGTCCCAGGTTCGATGTCTGGTAAGATGTTGTGTCCTTGGGAAAGGCACTCAGTCCATGCTCCAGAGTGTATTGTCAATTTTAATTGGTTAGGATGCTGGAAATATGTCCACAAATCAACACTCTAACCTCTGTGATGTAAGAACTGTGCATCATGTGACACTGTACAGAAAAGTTCTTACACATATTCAGAAAGTTCTCACAGTTCTTTCATGTTTAACATAAGACAGAAATTATCATATATGTACAGAAATGAGAAGTTCTCACCTCGGTGGAGTTGGCACTCAGTTCTTCATCCACCAGCTGCATGACAAACTCACAGATGACACACCCGACACTCTCCCCCACCTTCTCTGTCTGGACCACCTCCTGGGCAGGCTGCAGCACTGTCATCCTCAGGGCTTTCAGGGAGGGGCAGAACCCGATGGCCTGGCACACCTTCTCTGGGTCCTGTCAAATACAGACCGACTTTATACCAGGATACTGTTGTCACACCAATTTAACTTGTTGGTTCTCAGATTTTTTTTAAACAAACAGGGGAAAAAATTCTGTGGCAGATGTTCTAGCACTACCATTGTACAGTATATGACTGGTCTGTTGAATGTACCATTGTACAGTATGTGACTGGTCTGTTGAATGTACCATTGTAAAGTATGTGACTGGTCTGTTGAATGTACCATTGTAAAGTATGTGACTGGTCTGTTGAATGTTAGCCTGAGTGTCAGCCTTGTTAGCTTTCGTCCGCTACCCAAGGTCCGCTCTCCTTGTTGGCGGGGGAGCGGACCTTGGGTAGCGGACGAAAGCTAACAAGGCTGACACTCAGGCTAGTTGAATGTACCATTGTACAGTACAGTATATGACTGGTCTGTTGAAAACTTTTAAGAAGTAAATCTAGATTTTGTTGCATGATATGTGAAGGCAAATCAGTAAAGGCAACTAGAGTATTTTTCATTACTAAAAACTCATCCAATGAAAATCAGTAATATTTACCGAAAGGGAGCAGTGGTCTATATTTTTCACTTTCAGGAAAAATAGTAGAGGGCAATTCAAGAAACCAATTGATGAAATTGGTGTGGCCTAACGATGGCTAAAATCTGGGTATGCAACTGTAACAGTGTAAGGCATAAGGGGCCTTAAGAGTTCTATAGGAAGTACAGTGATGGTACAATCTGGTTTGGCTTAGTCAGTTAGTGAGAAATCCATCCATACTGTTACGTACCAGTTCTTGTTCCAAGAGGTTGAAGATGATTGGTCCGTAGGTATCAATCAGGGAATCACACTGTAAGTATACAACATAAATCATTAACCTTTATAATGTCAAAAGCAGCTTTTTCCAGACTCTGAGCTTTTCTGGTAATGAGGAACTACTAGTACTAAGAGAAGGAAATTTATTCAAAACGTAATTTTGTAAGGTTCTATTTTCAAAATGAAAGGGTAGCCCTTAATTAAATTTCTTTTTGTCAAAGAAGCAAAAACATTATTTTAGCAGGGCTTTTTTCCTTGGTTCAAATATTAGCAACTATCATTAGCTGAAGGTAACAGTAAATGTACAGTAACATCTGTGTCCATAATATCACCATAGTCCATAATATCGCCACCTTGAGAAATAGTGTGCTTAAAGATATTTTTACTGCAACATACCCTAGGTATGTACATTTGATGTGTGAAGGAGTGCATACCAAAAGTATGTTGCAGTAAAAATATCTTTAAGCACACTGTTTCTCAAGGTAGCAATATTATGGACCCTGGTGATATTATGGACACAGATATTACAGGAAATTTGAACAATTGACCTGGAATGAATTCATCAACTTACTTCTTGCTCCAAACCACCCAAACGAGAGCAGAAGTCGTCCTTGAGAAGCTTGATAAGCTGTGCCTGAAAAAGTTCAGATGTAGATCAGCATAAGAATTTTACTATAGAATCCTCTACTTTTTGTCAAACACTAACAAGACATAGTGGATGCTACTTGAAACGTCTGAACACCTACCTGTGTGGCGTTGTCTGCGACATAGTCGTGGGCCTTCTGCATGACTTCCTCACAGTCATCACAGATGCTGTTGGGTCCCTTCTGCACCTGTGCCCAACAGTTAACAGCATTGAGATTGTACAAATAAGTCAAGTACTGACCAGGACACACACACACATCAAGAAAAACTTGTAATGAGTAATGTCTACGTTAATGGACTTTAGTGGTTCAACATTGCGAAGATCAAATTTGAACCACCTTGCAGAACAAACAGGTACTTCTGAACAAGTAAGTTTGAAACCACACAACAGTTCAGCTGGCAACAGCAATCGTTCTTTGACCCACCTGCTGAAGCCTGGCGATCAACTCAGATGTAGGACACAGCTTTACAGCCTTACACACAGCATCAGGGTCCTGCCAGGGTAGAAAGAACAGGTCTATGAGAATGTTTTAAATGTTATCCAGCCTGATAGGTTGACTTGGTGGCTCCTTTGGTAAAAAAACAAATAGAAAAGACTTTTGCCTGCCAGCTCAAAAATCTGAGAAGCAAGAAATGAAATGACTATGGCTGAACGTATAATTTAATACCGGGTAGCTTTAGATCTTCTGACTTACCAGTTTTGACTCCAGCAGCTGGTAGATGATTGGTCCATAGGTGTCCATGGTTGAGTTGCACTGAGGAGCAACACAAAAACAGCATAGACCATTTAGTAATTTGCTTTGCAAATGAAGTACTTCTCACGCAATATATTCTGTGAAAAACATTATTATACTTGTGTGAAAAACATTATTCTATTCTTGACTGGCAACAATACATGATCAAGGCAGCACATTGAACAACCATGTGCCGTTCTTTCTCCCAGAAAGCAGTTAATCAACTTTATGCTTGTGGTTCAAGCTGACCAGCTAGTATATTCCTGACACACAAACTTACCTCCTTAGCCAGGGCACCAAGTTTTTCACACAGATGGACCTTCAGGTATTCTATCACCTCTGCCTGTTGGAAATACAAAAAAAATCTTGAATGAGTTTGGACATTGAACACTGTAATTTATACCTGTAATCTATTTATCGCAACACACACGTATATTTGATACAAAAGACACGTACATACAGAATTATAAGATGAGAATGAAGTTACTGTATTGTGTTATGTAGAAGACTTTATGGTTTACCTACCTCACTCTTGTTGCTCTTGATCAACGCCTGAACCTCTGTCATGACCAGTTTGCAGTCATCGCACAAGTCATTGGGTTGCTGTGGATAGTTGAAAATGCAATGGTTGAATGAAAAATCATTGCAACTTTAAAATTTATTATTCAAAATTTGGAACAGGCAAAGTAATGTACAATGTAGTAAGTCTACATTACATGTTTGGTGAATGAACATTCTGTCCATTTAATTTATGAAACTTATGAATATCTTGTCTTGAAAGTTCACCTGTGTTGCTGAAAGTAATTATGACAGCAAATAAAATGATTATTTCTTTGCATCATCCACATGATAACAACACCTGTCCTGACCTGTAGGACTGGTTTGATTGGCTGGTGCACAAAGGTAGCATTCTTGCACAGTCCAATAGCTTTGCAGATCTTGTCAGGGTCCTGGAAAAAGCAAAACCATCAAACATTCCATTTACACATAAGCAGCCAAGGACATCTACTTGTATATCAAATCCCACTCCTGAAATGTAATAAAAAAATAGAAATGTGGTAGGTTGCTCTTTGGCTGAATCAAAATAAAAAATTACAAAATTCAATTTTTTTTTCAGACTTACAATTTTCTGTTCCAGAAGCTTGTAGACAATAGGTCCATAGGTGTCCATGGTAGAGTTGCACTGAGGACAGAAATACATGAATGTTAATGCTGACATGGGACATGGAAAATCTAAAAAAAATAACATATAAATCTTTTCTAAAATAAAAAGAGAAAAGCTACAAGATTTCAAACATCTTAATTAAAAAAAAGAATTATGCAAATTGACATAAAAAAGCAAAATATTTTGATTACCTGCTGTAGTTGCAAAAGGAATGGGAAAGATCAAAGTAAAAATATTCAGTGATCATTTGTTTGATGATATTCAGACAAATTATGGCAAATCAAAAAAGCAAAACATTGCCAACTGATGGTCAAGTATTTGTAAGTACAAAGAGATCAAATCATGGTACATATATCATATACTACATGTATCATAAATATCTTGACTACTTATTATAATAGATTTCCTTGCTTCTTTCTACGAGTAGGTGCTTGATTCTATCTAGATGCTTGATCACATTAATATGATGTACAATATGACTATAAGCCTCATATTCTTCCATTGTCCTTTGCACTGAATGTATTCTTCTTTATTTCAAGTAACAGTCACATGAACTTACTGCAGATGCAAGAGCACCCAGCTGCTCGCACAGATGTACTTTCAAGAACTCAACAACCTGTGCCTGTGAAAAGAAGCAATACATTATGATCATCAATAACCTAATTGATATACATGTACACAACAAGACAACAAAATGAAGAACAGATAATATTCATTGAAGGTCTTCAAAATAAACAGAAAAGTAGATTTTGGAGCCCACACATGGCAGATGTGGCCAGGAATGGCCAAGTAGCCAGAGCTAGAGGTCACTTCCTAGCTAGACGATGTGTCCTTGGGAAAGGCACTATACATGACTTTCTTCACTCCACCCAGGTGCAGAATGCGTACCTGACTTTGGTTGGGGAAGTTAAAAGACGGTGAAAGGAGAGGGATGGGTTCTGCATGCCCTAGACACATGGATCATAAACTCTGCTGCAGCTATGGCTTCAAAAAGGCTATGGGACCTTTACATGGCAGAGGCAATAAGATACAAGGTAGGATAAGAACAAACCTCTGTTGTATTCTTGTCCACCAGTTCTTTGGCCTTTTTAACAGCAGCCTCACACTCTGGGCACAGATCCAGGGGCTGTAAAAACACAAGAAATATTTCCAAGTGTCCTAAGAAGCATATTAAAACAGATTACTTTGAAGGTTGTGATTAAGCTTTGTAGCTGTCATTGAAAATGTAATCAAATGTAGTTTCCACAACTTAAGACTCTGCAGAAAAGTTTAAACAACAACTATGGCTATTTTACCTTCTCAGGAGCAGGTTTCTGAGGCAGCGCCTTCCCTTCCGTGCAAAGTTTCAGAGCCTGGCACACTGCTTGCGGATCCTGTTCACAAAACAAACCAACATTATTGCACCTGAGCCAAGAAAATGACAACGACCAAATTGGAGAGACTTTCCAAAATAACACAGCCGGCGGCAAAAGAAATTGCTGACATTCCTCACCAGTTCAGACTTCAGGAGTTGTATGACTTCAGGGCCGTAGGTCTCTACCAGGGTTTTGCACTGTTAAGAAAAAAATCCTTATTAATCAGAACCAGAACATATGAATTCTTCAACAAAGATTGTTTACAACTCTGTGAAATAGTAAACCATGTCCATGACTGTTAGTCCTTAGATACCAGGCTTCTGAAAATCAGTACATACCTGGGATTTAAATCCTGGCCTAGACTAGAATGACTACTACAGACTTTATTGTTCTGTACCACGTGACTAATCAGTGCTCTAGATATCTTGCATATTAGGGTCTATCATTTAAAGGTGGAAAGGTTTCACTGACCGAGTCCTGCAGTGCATCTGGCAGGACAGTACAAGCCTTCTCCACCACTTCAAGGATTTCTTCCTGAACACAGAAAAAAATGAAGATGGGTTCAGTTTTGTCCGTGCTGTAGAATGAATCTGCAATCATGTATGATAAGGTTTTTTTTCCTTACTTTATCATGTAAGAGTACTGTAATTATCATATAAAGATTGTGTTCTTGATTAACAACAATATCTCACAATAAAAACATGGCCTGCTGTCGGCAGTATTCCTGCCTGAAACATTAAAGATGAACCTGTGAACAGCACTGAATCGCCATTATTATATAAATGTACAATAAAAAAAAAGGAACTGTTGAACAAGAATATGTACCTCAGTAGCATTCATGCCAATGATCATTCTGGCCAGCCCCACGACTTCTTCACAGGTATCACAGGTAGGATCGCTCTGTGGTAAAACAAGAAGCATTCAAGTCAGACCATTACACCAAACATCATATCATAATGACATTGATAACATTCCCTATTACATTAATGGTTGATAAACTGTATGCTATTTATACCATTATTGGTTAATAGTTTAACACAAACATTTGTACATAGATGTATCATAGATTTCCAGCAATAATGATGGACTTAGTTAGGATTATCATGACATGTATATGCTTACCCGGTATCTCCTATAAGCCCAAATATCAATATTTTGGGACATCAACTCTCAACATAGCAGGAAAAACTATCTTTATGATTATATTATAATCAAGATAGTTTTTTCTGCTATAGCAAATGGTGAACATTATTGAACGCTCATACATGTACCTTGACTTCCTGCTTGCTCCATACAGCCTGTGCACAGTGGTCGATCGCCCCACACTCCTTGGCAGTGTCGATACCCTGGCACCAGTAACCAGGGCCCCAGCTACAGCGATGCTCACCCAGAAGTCCATATGCTGAAACAAACATGCAGGTGTTTTAGTCAAGATTCTAACAGGTGGCATTGAATGGCTGATATTTAAGGTGAGCAGACATGAGATCGAGACCTGGTTGGACACTGTGTGATCTGGAAAGGCCCTTTACACAACTTTCTTCACCACATCCAGGGTGGGTGACCTGACTGTGGTTGGGCAGGTAAAAGGCTGTTGGAAGGAGAGAGATGGGCTCCACATTCAAATACCGTACCCTAGACACAGTGCATTAACAGCCTACTACACTTGCAGCCTCAAAGTCAGAGAGAGAGACTATGGGACTACATTTTTTTTACCTAACAACTAACAGGTGGAGGTCAAGATATTCCTCTGAATCATTTAATGTCTAATCATGTACTAATTACAGTGATAAATCAATTGGCCCATTCTTCAGGTGGTGACCTCAACAATGAGACAACAAACTTTGTACTTTGTACTTCTGACCTTTGGGCTCTTGGAAACATGTGCTTCTCAAATGACACATTTCATACTGATCTACAGTTCATTCAGCAAACTTCAAAGTCAAAGAACTTGAAATTTGCAATCATGTGTATGTGAACTCTATAAAGGAAGCAATCATTGGTAGTCTCTAACTTAGTCTAAGTGCTGTGTATACAAGTTTGTACAGAGAAATGGTATTCTCTCTGCCCTAAACTTTGAAGCAAACAAAATATCATCTATTGTCTTGAGGTCACTTGTTCACATGGGAAGAAATTCTTTGTCTTTGTCTGCAACATTACTATGATAGTCTTTTAGTTTCAACATCTTGTATACCAAGTTGCTCTTGCTGTCTTTATGCATGTCTAAATTTAGATGTTTTCTGTGCAACATTTTATCAGTTGCCCCTCACCTAGATTGCAATGGACTTTAACCTTGATAGTGTCAAGGTGACCTTAAGGTCAAGGCCGCACTGGCCTGGGCAACACAATCTCTCACCATCAGGTGCTGATTGAGGCTAGGGGTAGCCTCTACGAGGCTGGAAAGAGTAGAAATTGGCCAAATAGACAGATAATATACCAGAGGAGTTGGTCTCCTAAAGGAATACAGTTTGCCACAATGGGTCCAATTTCTACTTTTTCCAGCCAATTCTGAAACCTGGCAGAGACTACCTAGGAGAGTCTGACCAGTGGAAGGGCAGCTAGAAGCATGATATGGTCAAGTTGGAATGTAATGGTTAGCCAGGAGTCCAGCCTTCAAAGCTCTTTTCTATCATTGTACCTCCATGTTTCTACACATAAAAATCCACTATTCCGCAAAAGCTAACAAAGCTGGACTCCAAGCTATGTTGGAGTTTCAAACATTATTCAAATTCACATTTTGCTGTGTTTGCAAAGGTCTATAAAGTCTGTTCTGTACATTCTGCATCTGTATAGCCGGTATAACCGCCTTTCGGCGTAACACACCAGCTTCTGTATCTGTATAGCCGGTATAACCGCCTTTCGGCGTAACACACCAGCTTAAGTCGGACTCTTTTAAACAGTTCCTGTTTCTTCAGAGAAGAAACTGTTTTGTCATCTTCTTGAATTTTAAGTTGAAAGAGGAAGAAGAGCACACAAAATACAGTTACAGCTTTCAGTTCCCCCCATATACAACATAGTCATACATTACTTCCCAAAAATATTGTATTAGCCAAAAACAACGTTAAACTGGGACAGTTACAGTATTTCATTCCAATTTTTATGCCAAGGTTTTATGCCTCCCAATCATAGTATTTGTCCATTAATCTGGAGCTTTTGTTATTGTTTCTCTAGAACCTCCCTTTATGTGTTAACGTTTCATGATCGCAGTAAAAATGTCAGACTAATCATATAGGGGCGTAACGTGGTTATCCTCAGTAGCACGTCGACACAGTCACACCGGGATAGCACGGAAAGTGTCACGAGGTGATGAGTTCATAGTCCAAAACATTTATCAGCCCAGAGTTCAGAGAACATGTAACCTACCATGTCCAGCTGAGCTACGCAGTTTTCGCCAAGCTATTATGAAGACCTAGCCTTCCTAAACTCGTCAAGTTCAAAACAACAAGTCTCTCATTAACTTTTAGTACATGCTTACCTGTTCCAAACAGCAGTAAGGTGCAGAGGAGTCCGAAACGAGCCATGGTGAGCTTTACAATACGCGATGTCGCACCCAGGAACCGATGTCTCTGCTTTCTGTGCTTCGCGTTACTCACTGTCACGTGCTCCTCTAGTGTCAGCTGATCTGGGACCGTCCGTTATATTCTTTTGGAGGTGATCGTGAAACGGCTAACCAATGTTCTTGTGATAACCTCTCATAGTTTTTCAATAAAATTTCTCTTAAACACCTCTTAACAAAAGTATGTGGTTATAAAGTATTGCACATATAACTGTTATCCATTATCCACTCTTTTGTGAGCTTCAGAGACCGCACCATAGCATGGGTGAATTGTCCCTAATTAGTCTGTAGGTCATGGGACGTCCGAGCCTTGCTAACCCGGAAGTGAAACCCGGAAGTGGTCACCATTACTCAGCTGTGGATCCGTAGTGATTTCAGAAGTCATGTCCACTGCCAAACCGTGCTGTTTAGTCATCTGTAGTGCCGCTATAGATGGTAAGAGGTCTAACATAATGGTAACTTGGCAATACAGTGGAATGCTGTTGTTGTTGTGTCGTTATAGCTGTATAGCTGTCATAACTGCCCTCAAAATATTCAAACCTTAGGAGGGGTGTACAGAGAGACATGCTTTCTATGAATTGTGCATGCTTTGACCTGAATGGTATACCTGCACTGCCTGTCAAGAAAGATTTTTTCACTACTGACAGCTAGGAATAGCCTATCAATAGCTATTGATTGATTGAGTGCCAAGATTAATTGACTAGGGCATTTTGGAATGGCTTGACAGATTTTATTAATATGTACAGGTAGAATATGAAAAATAATACGTGATCACAATGTAATAATATCCATCAGATCGTTACTACAAATACAAAATGTTTGTGCAGGTGTGTCGACACAACCATTCATCCAGGCAGTAACTCTGCTGAACTCTGCCTTCACACTGCAACTGGCCACACCAAATGTGAGTAGGACACTAAAAAACATCAAGCAAAATGATAATTAAATTCTTTATTGATTAATAAATGGATGAAGACCTTAACTATACATATAAGCCCACTGGGGTAAGTATAAAGGAATAGTTTACAGATACTGTACATGTATAACATCACAGTGTCAAGCTCATACTTGTACATGTACTGCAGTCAAGTACTGGTAAGTGAATTCAGCTTGTCCTTGCTTCTTTGTGATGGTAAAAACCATCAGAATAAAGTAGTTCTCAACTTCCCATCATCATACTGTACCCTGCAGGGGAAGGCTATTGAGTTTGTCCAACAAGATGATTCCAGTCGGCGCTGGTTAAATGATTTCCGTTCCAAGAGTGTGGCCGTTCCCACAAGACTGGACAACATAGACGGTCAGCTTCTGGTTCTTACCTCTGCCCATTTTTACAGAACACCATGAACAGTTCAGTGAGTTAGCATGCAATAGGCATGTAAGATATGATGATTTCCTTCTCCAGATACATGTACTTTACCAGCTTGTTGTGGTCAATACATACAAACATGATCTGTCCTTGGTACTGAACACTATTCACACTAATATTTCCGTGATATATGAGGAAATCATCTGACTACGTTCACAATTGTGCACCTGTAGTTTCCCGTTACGCGGCTGTGCTGATACCGCCTGCACCTGGTGCCCTGTACGACCTAGCGAAGGATGCAGATGTGGCAGCTGTTCTCAACCAGGCAGTTGCAGAGAGGAGTGAGTGATATCCATACATGTAAACTGTGTGCAGTACTATGATACTGGTATGGTATACAGATTTGACAACTGTGCAGCACTATGTATACCTATGACACTGGTATAAAGATTTGACACCTGTTACTAAAGTTACATTTTCATACCTGTTGCTGGACATATTGCTCCTCTTTTTACATCTATTTTGGTATGTATTGTCTGTCAGTGTGTATGCACCTGTTAAAAAGTATGGTTCCTGGACTACAAATACAATAATTTGTGTTGGCTTTCATTATAGATAGCTAAGTTAGTTTGTTCATTTGTTTTCAGAGCCAATCTGTGCAGTAGGACTAGGAGTAGCAGGACTGTGTGGTGCCATGAAAGATGACGGGCTGACATGGACCTTTTCAAGTTACAGTTTAAGTGGGGTAAGTTGTGGTATTTTGATAAGAACTTTGAAACATGTTAATAATTTGGTAAGACCTGAAGTTTGTTGCCAAGAAAATTAGTTTATGGTAAGGACTAGTTCTTTCTATACCAATACATGTAGAAATGAATGTTGACCTTATAATTTCTCCCTTACCCAAACCTTCAGCCATCAGTGTTGAGTTTAGCCAGGAGTCCCTCCTTTGCCAACTTGCCATTGATTATAGAGGATTTCATTAAGGACAATGGTGCAGTGTACAGCGGTAAGTACAATGTATATTTTCTTAATAGTATATGTACAATAATGTGCATGGAGAATTTTGTTATCATGACATATGTTATAGGAAGAATTTAGATAATACAGATTTTTATGATTGCGAATATCAAAGTTATGTGCAGTTAATAGATGAGTTACAAGGATACTGACATCATCTTGACACCAGTCAAGTTCCCCCTTTTTAAGTTCATTTCAAGTTTTCAACATTTTATTTCTTTCAACAAATTCAAGTGACTTTTGTATCTGTGAAAGAGTTAAGTGTTAACTACATGTATCTTTGTTTTACAGCCAGTAAGGCAGACCACGTCCATGTTGTGGTAGATCAGAACCTGATAACAGGACAGAATGAAGAGTCGACTGTGGTCGCTGTGCAAAACCTCATCCTCTTGTGCAATGCCAGGTAAGACCACTGGTGGAATCATACAAAATCTGCAAGAAAAAAGTCACATGCAAATAGTCATCATGCATGATACAGTATCTAATTTAGGCCCATTTCATACATGCCTTTATTAATTTAGAAGTACAGTACATATAATTTGGAAAGCAATGTAATGGATACATTTTGCCAATGCTTGAAGCAAACTGTTTATCACAGACATCCATGGATGCACTGTCATCATGCAGACATATGAATTAAAACACAAATGTGGGGATTTCCCATGTCATGATCCTTTGTTTTGCCAACTACATGTACTCAAGAGATGTTCTTGAGTCGTATTGTTTTCAGCTTTTGACTTCTGAATGATGTTGTTCACAGGCAAGGGAAACAGGTGCCAAGCTGATGACAAGTGCAATGACATGACAATGAAGAGACTGTACATAAAGCATGGATCTTCCACACAAAACATCTGAAAGCAAGAAATTTAAGGTTTCCATAATCTTTAAACTTGTTCAGCTTTAGGCTACTTGTTCAGCTCTAGCCTACCTCCAAGTGCTCTCCTGCATGCAAAAATTCAGTATATCAAGGGTTGTGACTCAAAGACTCCTGGAATAACCAATGGTCTCAGGATAAGGCTCAACAAAAGACTACAGTGTTACAACAAATAATGTAAGATAGCAGGTATAGTGTGAACTTTCATGTCAGTTTCCTACACGTATTCCATATATAGAGTGAGAGAGAGTCATTCTACTTTTCTTTTGTCATACAAGGGTGATAAAATCTGTACTTTTCAATGTACAGTAATTGATAGCCAAATTTGCAACCAAAGACAGTTTTTTTTATTATATCATTTAGACCACATGTACAACCAAACAAAGATAAGATCAAACTGTAGTATGAAATTATTGCAAATTGCAGCTTTATCATATGGTTTATTATCTTACTGATTGACATTCCCTATTTCTATCTCACAAAATCCACATGAAGGATTATTAAAATTTCTCGATACAAAATTCTTGTCTGTTAGTGTTTCATGGCTGCCACTGTACATACTCTATAGCAAGACATCATGTCATCATCTGTCTGACTGCCTGACTACCAGCATGTGATTTTGTTGGCACATTGTCTGAGGTTTAGAACATGATAAAGATTACAAATCAGATACAAATAGCTGCAGTACTAGCAAAAGTGGTCAGGGGGCCCAAAATCAACTGAATTCCAACTTGATCCTACCTCCTTTGTTCAAAACAGTAATGAAAACATCAATAGTTCAATTAGGAATTCATTGCATGACTATTGACAAAACAGATTATGCAAATTATGTTGTTCTATGCGTCTGGCACCTACATTGTAGGCTATTAGTGTCTCCCTCTTCCAGCTTTTTCAGGAGACCCCAAAGAGTCTGGAGAGATTTAATCCACTGTATCTCAAGATCAGTCCAGTTGCCACACAGACATCTTGATAGAAAGCCAGTGAGAAATGCACAAACCCTGCCATACTGCCATCTTTGGCAAGCTGGCAGCAGGAGGCCTCTATAGAACAGCTGATGGGAAGAAAATTGCCACCTTTGATGTAGGCTTTCTTGTCATGTGGCAGGAATGTCTGATTACTGGCTACAAACTTGCCTGCTTCTTCATGACCTCAGCAAAACAGCACTTGTGGACACATTTAGTTAACCCTTGTGGGACCCTTGTGGTCATTTGGGGGTTTACAGTTTTCCTTCCCTAATCTCTTAGTTTACTGTCAAGCCTAATCATCTGTTGATTGGACCTTAAACCAGTACACACCACTAAGAAAACATGGAAACAAACAATAGTTTGATGTTTGCAAGTTTGCTCTGGGCAGGGTGGCTGTTATTCTCGGTCAAGATGGTTCCAGATTGTTGAAGAACTGCCACTAATAAGCCCCAGCTGGCCTTGCCATTTGATCTGCCCTGCTGGGCTGGCACCTTGGCACTAAGCCCGACACTTTAGAGGAGGGAGGTTTCTCTTCCAGATTTGCTTTTATCTAGCACTAAAAAAGCACTAATTATCTTACATCAAGTATAAAAAGAAAGAAATATTAGTGGAACTCACATCAAAATTCAATTTATTGATAAACTACTAGACTGAGGGTTAAGAAAAAAACGGACACATTGATCACCCCTAGTGATAAGGAGATGGAATGATCTCGATTAAGAAAGACCAGCAGTGGAATTTCACTAAGCTGTGGCAGTCTGGTCAGAACCTCAAGACACAATCCAGAGGAAGGAGGCCTGTGTTGACGTGGCAAGCTGACTGTTGTTTGGGTAAGTACACATACTTCTTTAAGTACCAAATGTACTCAAGGAACCCAATCGTTTTCATGGTTCACAGTGTATGGAGAAGTTGTGTTGAAGTACCAAGTAAACGCATGATGATAACTCTTGCAAACACTTCTCAAAAGGGGTAGATTGAGTAAAACAGCAACTTCATGTTGGTGTTACTGTTAGAAGATGTCAAGATATTCTGGCTTCGAGGTAGCATTACAGTGGTAGGACAGCTCAGTTTACCTTAAAGTATACATAACATACAGGTATAATAAACATTTGGAAAGTAAGAGTGGTGGATTATGAAACACCAGCAGCATGTGGGTTGAGTGAAACAAATAATGAAGTTTAGACCAGTACAAATTACAATTTTTTCCAGGTCTATACTTCATGCCCTTTTCTTTGATCTTTCCTTTTTGCTGTGATTGTTTTTGTGAATCCCATGGGTAACGTAAGTGGTCCTCTTTTGACTTAAAACCAAAGTCATGACTGCCATGGTGTTGGTTGGAATAAATCTTGGCTTTCCTCCAAAACCTAAGAACCCTCAGTTTTGTTTTAAGTAACTACGCAGTCGCTAAAGGCTTCCTTCACACATGGTTAGTTCAGAATGGAGCCATTGCTTTTCGCAGTTATACACAATTCTTCTGTCACTGTTGGTTCAGAGACAACTTTTGTTCTTCCACATTTCCCCATGGGGTGATGGGGCCAGCCACAAGGGGCACATGTTTGTTTGATGCTGGGACAGCCATGTCTGATGGCCTCCCAGACTTCTCACTTCCTGAACCCCTGGTACTGGCCCTTCTTCAATATCCCCTCTTCCTTCCTGACCCCAGATAAAAAGCCATCCTTCTAGACTGTCAGTAAATGACCACTGAAATATATACAGATGGTGGACTTGGCTCAATCTCTTTACAATGTACTTGCCACTTCCACTTTTAGTAGTTACTGTCTAAGGCTTTGAGTTTGACAGTTTTCCACTGCCTTCCATCTGGGACTGATCTTAGTCTCTACCACTGACCAGCGTGGACATCCTTGCACTGACATACTACAATGGGTTGCTTGGAAAATTGTAGAAATTGGCCAAATTGAGGGAATAATTATGCAAGAGGGGTTAGCCAACCCATCATCATTTTTCTACCTCCATGGCCAACCAGAGAAAAACTGCAGGTTGCAAATTTATTTGCCAATTTTAAATATTCAGTTTTTTGTCATACAACTTAAGATGTTGCTTTTCTTGAAAATCTATCAAAGACCAATGTTTTTGACTTGTGGCATATTGCACAATAAACTTTGACTTGACTCAACTTCAGTAAACTTATTTTATAACAGCCACCCAGATGGCTTTCCACCAGAGGAACAATTTGCATACACACAATTGATGGATGGGACTTTCTATTGTTGAAGGCAGTTGTCCTGGTTTCCAAGAAAACTGCATGATTCCAGGTCATATGGAACAAATTAAGATCTCAAACAAAGCTAATACCCAGGGCCAGCTGATGTCTGGTGTCTCTTGTAGATTAGAAACTCATCAGTAGATCTTACTACAGTAAGTTTCTAAATTTTCACTGGGATTTTAGTACTTTTACTCAATGAAAAATTTTCTTGTTGGCCTTGCAGTCAAAACTCATTATACTGCAAATGTGGGATATGTTCTGACTTCCATTGTGTCTCTTACTCTCTACCAGTGTTTCAACCTTGATAGTTCAAAGACTTGTTGAATTTTTACCATTCCACAAAATTTAAGTGCATTTACAGTATTCTGTGGTCCTATTCAGAACCGAATAACTATAAACTTTTTTTTTCTGAAATCAGAAAAAAATCTGAGAACCAACTGGTTAAATTGGTATGGCCTTGGAAAACTGATGCTGCTAATGGTCACATCTTAACTATTTTATTGTTTCATCTAAAGTGCAGGTGAACAAGAATATGTAATGTGGTTGGATGGAATCTCATCTTAATCTCATCTAGTAAAAGGACTAGGCTCCTCTCATTAGAAAATATAATTACATGGAAAAGAATTTGCTTACGTCAACCCTTTAACAATGTGTCCTTAATTAAGATTAATTACATCTTTACTTTGATGTGTTGGGGAGATCTTCAATGTAAAACATATGTTTGGTCCAATCTAAGATGATAATTTGTGCCTCAAATTTTAATTTGGCATTCTTGGAAATGCTCGAACTAAAGGAAAATCATTAGCCTGGATGCTAGACTGTTTCCAGGGCCTGGATAGATAGCTCCTCAGCTCCAGGGCCAGCATGCCCAATGCCCAAGGAAATTTAACCACTGCCCCCAAGTTAAACTGGGGGACTGTTCAATGTTGGCACTAGAGATGAGGAGCTGGCATCTGTAGGCCCTGGAAATAGCCTGGCATCCAGGCTGATGATAATACTTGCAATTGCCCTGTATTGAAAGCACTTGGCAACTAACTACATGTGTATGTCAGTTTGGTAGACAATTTCAGAACAAAAATTTAAAGTTGATAAGATGTAACTGTTAGGTATTTCTTAGTTAGGTTCTTTATGCTCTCCTTCTGGCTCTCTGGGTTAGGTTTCCAAAGTTCTGTCTGTTGGGTGACATTTATTTTTCGTGGTCGGACATGAAATTCCAAGCATAGGAAGTTGGCAGGGCTGTTTAAGTAGGAAGAGGGACAGACCTCCAGTTCAGAAGGTTAAACTTTTCAACCATGTGTGCCACAGCAGTCTGGCTTCAATATGTGCAAAGTGTTATTGTGCATTGAGGGTTTTCTTGTGTGAAGGGAAAGGGTGCAAGTTTGAAACTTAAAAGGAGGGGGTAAAATTAAATCTACACATGCAATTGTATTTGTACAGTAACTACCTATACGGTATACCGTGAATGGATTGATTGTCTTGTAGTGCAATTTACGAGTGCAACTTCCGATTGTCAGGCTAGTTTGTCTTGCAGGGGAAAATATGTCTCAGATAGCAAAACATGACAGACCCGCTCACAAATTTCATTTCTGGTTTGAAGGAGCACAGCTATAGGAAGTGTTGAGATGAAGCACCATCTTCCTGTCAAAGTCCTTGCAATGTACATGTACATCCAGGCAACAACTTCCAGACATTACCACTTTCAAATTATGTGGGTTTTTTTTCTCATTCACCACGTTGTTTGGGGCTATCTCTGACATCCACATTGCAAGAGATATGGCTCTTTCTACAGATATTGTACACTATTTTTACTATGTATTTAATAGATCTGGGGGATACTTCCTTTTTTTCAAAGGCAAATTTTGCTGGGTCAGTGTTAGGCATCTCAGCAGGATTTGGACCATCTGGTCACAAGGTCTCACTTTTATCAGCAGAGCTCAGCAAGGCAGGAAGTCTCAAAAGCGTTCCTGAAGAGCTTGGAGACTGAGAGATGGTTCACAACAGCTGGATCCACTTCTGTAGCCAAGACAGCAGGAGTTACTCCAGTTCAAAATGGAAGATTTACAGAGTTAGGCTACAACAAGGGATACAACCCACTTAGCTGACATTAATTAGGGGGTCTGCATGCCTTTTTTTTAATACAAGAAGATGTAGCCATTTGGCGGTCTTAATTCTTGGTGATTAAAAGCCAGGCTCTAAATATTCAAGGCAAGAAAATGACCTGACACTTGATTATAGCCTGGATGCCAGACTGTCCTCAGGGTGAAGACACAGGCCAGCTACAGCCTCCAGTTAGACCCTGAGATGCAGCCTGACCAGGGGTGTCTTTTGTAAAATTTCCTTGGACTTGGAGACATGTTTTGTTGGCCCTGGAGAAGAGAAGCTAGCCTGGCAACATTCTGGCACCCAGGCAAAATACATTTGGGACATTTGCGAATTTACCAAATAGTATAATGAGCAAAATTACCATATGGATAATGACTGGAAAATTTTAACTTCCTAATCCTCTGAATTTTACATGAGGGGCCTTCATTTTGCAAATGTTTTGTGGCACTGACTGTTGAATGATCTGATAAAAATTTGTCCATCAATGGGGATGGATGGAAGGCCACTGGAAAGACACGGGATGTAATCTTCCCTTAGACACAGTTGGTTTATATTAATTTCCCCACACCTGACCTAAAAGGTCTGGTGAATGTTGAAGTAAATCCTGCCTAGACAGTGAGGTAATGTCTGTTGTAACTGCCAAGTCACACACAGGTTTGTCAGCACTGATGGATCACATGTGAGCTAACCTGGTCAACAACGACTTGTCAAGACCAGATGACTGAGTACAGGGAAGTTGAGATTACCAAGATGGGAATGACCTAACTCTTTCTTGTGCATTCTCTTCCCAATATTTAAAAAAAATTTAATAAATTTTAGAAAACTTTATTTATGCTCATTATCTTTCACCATTTTCACTTGATCATCTTAGGCACATAGTCATCATCACCCATGATTGCTCTTTCATCTTCATCCCAGGAAGCAGCCTTCATTTTAACATTCCTACAGTCTTGGACATAATAACTTGTGCTGTCATGCTGTATGGTATCGTGCTTTGAGCTGCAACAGGTTTTAAATTGAGCAAGTCTCACATTTGTTCAATCACAATTTGACTTGCAAAGACTCCACTATTATTGGCTTTCAACTCTCCAAAGCGTCAATATGAAGGATTCTGTAGTTGTGTACACATCTGATATGTGAACAGTCTGGCATGTTAACAGTTCACAGTATAGCAAGCATAACCGCAATGTGTTTTTTTCATAACTGTTTCCTTTTTTACTTCCAGTCTCCTTCCTTTCAATAAATGGGTGGCGCCAGATTTTTCATACACATGATACATATGGGTGCCATCTTCTCAACAAATTAAGCACATGTGTCACTGCAACTTCTGTATGCAGTATTTGCCAAAATATATAGCTGGTTCAAGTAACTTAAGTAACTTAAACACTGTTGTGATATGATTAGCAACCTGAAAATTGGTTCCTTGTGCTTTTCAGAATGTTGCCAGGTAAGGGCATGACAAGAATTTTAAACATGCTGTCTTGTTTTTATGTTTTTCAGTTAAGGTGTCAGATATAGATTGTCACGATGAAGTTCTGGGCAGTACTTCTTTTGGGTGTCCTGGTTGGAGGAGCTTTGGCTGCAAAGGTGAGTCGAATGCCAGAAACCCTACACCAACTTGACATACATGTACTGGTAATGCCATTTTTGGATGTCACTGTTGTCTGTAGTATAACTACTTTCTTGCAGAGTATGACAGAATATTTCTTCTCTTCTACTCCTTTTCTTGGTAACCTTTTAGAAATTGTGGGTATGAAAGTAGATGAGCCACAACAAGAAATCAGAGATACCAAAACCCCAGAAACGATTCAGGTGATGGCATAACTCACATGGCAGAGGAAAACTGCCAAAGCACCAGAAATTTAAATAGTGTGATATGTATGTGTTGTTTTATGACAGGATATTGAGGATGAGCCAACTGAGGAGCAGATGGATGAGGCCGATGATGTCCTGGAGGCTCTAGGAAAGGATGAGGAGAAGGAGGTTGAAGCAGAGGAGGAAGATGAGGAAGAGGATGAGGAAGAGGGAATACTTGAGAAACGTAAGCACACAAGCAGAGGTGTAAGCACTCTTGATATAAGGTTAAGTGTGGCAAAAGTGCATATAGTCTTACATTATGAAAAACTTAAACTTTTCTCCAACTCAAAATTTGACTCACCAGAAATTTTCGACCGAATCACTCAGTCTTCCTCAGCTATCTGACCCAAATGCTGTGGACACGTGATTTTTCCCACGTGTGACGTCAGCAAAGGGTCAAAGGTTGTCTGAAGTCTTACATAATGTGATCATGAATTATCTTTGCAGTGTCATAGATCAGATGATTTTAGCATAATACTTAACCAAAGATTGCATTTTGAAAGTGAACTTCTTTTCGTAAACCACATTCTCTCCTCACCAAAGATTGCCTTTGTGTTGAAAGCTTTTTTTCTGATTGATGTAGACCCCTGTTTTGACAAGAAGTGCAAGCGTGGTGAGGTGTGTGACCTTGATGAGAAGCTGAAGCCCATCTGTGTCTGCGCCAAGAAGTGCCCTGAACCAGAGGACCCTGCCCTGTCTGTCTGCTCCACTGCCAACAAGACTTATGCCTCTGAGTGCCACCTCTTCAAGCAGAAATGTGACCTGGTAAGAACTCCAGCCTTCCTCCATAGACCACGGTCTGTATCCTATTTCTATCCTTTGTAACAGGGATGTGACATAGGGCTGCGTACCTAAACGTAACATCAGGTACAGGTACAGGTACTGGTACAGAGGTTTAGGTACAGGTCCGGACCTGTACCTGTACCTGAACAATTTGACAAATTAACACGTGTTCTTCACTTTTTCAATCATGACACAGAAACAATAATAAAGTGTTGGAGGGAAGGGAAAATGACTGACCTCTGACCTGATTTGAGTTTGTTGACCAATCACAACCCTGGATCAGCCACACTCTCGCGATGTCTCGTGAGACTGAGGATCTCAAATCAATCGACGGTGTTTACGTCTTTTCCAGTGCTAATTTTTCGTCTTTGTGGTAGGATTTACCTATCTTTAGTCATATACATGGTGTAAACTAGCTATTTCGGTATATACTCGTTACTTCATGATCCGGTATTTTGGACCTGTACCGAAACGATTTTTACGGTATTGGACCGGTACAGTGTACCGGTCCGCAGCCCTAATGTGACATGCTAAGTCACTCTTGCATCAGAACTTTGGGTTTGTATCCCATCTTGTCCTTCTGTGATAAAGAATGCAACATAAAAGCTTTCTTTTCTGACAGTTATTTATCTTTTTCTCTTCATAAGCTGAAGATTCTCACTTGTCTGATGATGCCCTGACAGTTGTAGTTATACGTCTTCAAAGAATAGATAACAGACCTGTGTTATGTGACAATCTCTTTTTAGGATATTTCAGTTCTCAATATTTTGGTATACTCAATCCACAAGTATCTATGACTCTTGCAGAAGAGCAGTGAAGACGGCAAGAGGGTGAGGATCCATCTGGACTACTACGGCCCCTGCAAGCTGATTGAGGAGTGTCTGGAGGAGGAGCTGGCTGAGTTCCCCCTGAGGATGAGGGACTGGCTCAAGAACGTCCTGGTCCAGCGCATGTCACTGGTAAAAACTCATGGAGTCACTCTAGTTGAAGCATTTACTTCGTCCGTGTTTGTAGTTTGGGGTGGACAGAAATTTGTGATGTTGAAAACAGAACCAACAGTACCAATTTTTTTTTGTATGATATGGTGAGTGATATGGTACACACACCTACAGGTGTTCATTGGAAAAGATGAAATATCATTCATGAAGTCATAAACAACACTACAGTTAGTAGTCAGCAGAAGTTGCTTTCCATAATCTCTTTCACACAACTGACACAGTTGACACAAAATGGTTATATATATTTTTAGATTCATGCATGTTGTTTACCCCTTAGGAACTGCTGACAGACAAGGAGATGTTCCACGCCAAGAAGATCTACGAGGACGAGCGACGCCTGAAGAAGCGTGCCGATGGCGGAGACTGGGAGGCAGAGATCCTGCTGCGTGACTTCCGCAAGAACTACGCTCACTACGTCTACCCCATCCACTGGATGTTCTCTAAGCTGGACCAGCACCCCAAGGACAGGTAATGTTATATTATGTCATACCTGGGGCCATGATACCATTCAGTCCAGGTGTTCTGGCCCATGACTGTGATAATTCTAGTTTTAACAGTTATTACACAGGCTTCCAAACAAAAATTCCATATAAATTTGACATGAACAAAAATTTAGACTCCTGTAGATTATTTAAAGCAACTGACTGACTAAGTATTTTGCTAAGTGTCAACCAGGCTTAGGAAGTGACTGTAAAGAGCAGAAATTGGCCAAACAGATAATACCAGGGTCCAATTTCTACTCTTTCCAGCCAATTCCAAAGCCTGGTAGAGGCTATGTTTGCTAGTGATCAGATAGAAGTAAATAAAATAACCTACTTGGTTGGGAGTGCTCAATGTTTCTATGTGTATGCAGGTATCTGACTCACGCTGAGCTGGCTCCCCTGCGCGCTCCCCTGGTACCCATGGAGCACTGCACAACCACCTTCTTCAAGACATGTGATGACGACGGAGACAAGAGAATCTCCCTGTATGAGTGGGGAGCCTGTCTGGAGCTGAAGGAAGGTGAGATACTGTAGTTCACCCTGTCTTCAAGGTAGCAAAATTTCATGGTCTGAGGAAAATGGAACATAATCTTCACAGTGATGGTAAGCGTAGGAAGGGGGGAGGGCAGACAAATGACTTGGTAAAAATAATGATAAGTGGTACCCATGAAGTGACTGTGAAAACAATGTATTGTAAAAGTACAGTGAAAAAATCAGGACTTACAGTATCATGAGAAGCAGTCATGAATAAAATTTACATATGTTAACTTCTATCACTGGAATCATATGCATGCATAAGGCAGGCAGGCATTCAAAGAAATAGTCAATATGCATCAGTCATCTTAAAAATTCCATTACTAGCATCCATGTAATATTTGTGGTCTAACATCTAGATCTGTTTAGATTGGCATATCAAACAAGAACTACAACTTGCACAAACTAAAACATTTTTGTCTATTACAGAGGACATCAAGCAGTACCTGATTGACTAAGAAGGGTCCAGCAGTTAATTTACAACTGATACAACTTGGGAATAAATATGGTGCTACTGGTCATTGGAACAATTGGATACTGAAATCTATGACTCCAAGTAGATGTATACTTTGGTAGCAGAGTTCTAGACATACTAGTAATGTATTTTCTCCTATATATTTCTCTATTTTATACTATGTGTAACAACAGCAAATAATGCTTATAACAGCTGTAAATGATGTATGACAAATGTATAATGTCCGTGCCACATGCATGCACTCGTGTAAGAACTACATGTACAGTGTATATTGGTGGCATTATCTTAACTTAATAAGCTTGCGGGTGAAATCTGGAATTTTCTTCTGATCTCTACTCATTCCTTACGACCAGCCTCTTCCTCTTTACCGACTGTTTTTTAAAATAAATTTGAGCAAATTCAATTCTTAAGTCTTCTGTCTGTACCTTGTGCTGAAGTTGTGTTTCTTTCCATTCCTACAACATAATGTCTATAAGGCAGTGTCTGATGGACACGTGACATTATAATATAAAATGTAGGTCAGCAGTCAATGCCCAATTCTTAGTTATTTGCCTATTGACTAGAATCTTAATCCAACAATAGAAGGAAAACAAGTTTTCCCAGTGAATAGGGCAGGAAAATTGGACCCCCCCCCCCACACACACACACAAACGTACAACTGTGCCAAATACTATACCACTAGTCATAGTAATACAGTCTAAGAGTCTTTCTGAATAGCAACCAGTGTCTGTGAAAACTAGGCCAGTGTGACATCTAACAAATGAGACCCAGTTGGTAACTCTGTCACCATGGGAGAGGGAAGATGCCATTTGACCTTGGCTCTGATACCGGGTACTCTAGATTTGTGACCTGTTGTGGTACCCCAGATACATACTAAATGTAGCCTGATGAATTTTGGGGTTACATGGAGTCATACAGACAGTAACTGAAACTCCTGTTACCAGATCTACATTTGTGATGAAGCATTTGAAAGAATAATTCATCAAATAATAAAATTATACTCAAATAGAAGTAAATGTAAATCACTGTGTTCTAGACAGAATCTTTATTTTACAAAGTTTGGATTGCATGCCTGGTCAATGACACTTGCTATGCTGACACTTAACACAGTCCAGATATTTACAGTCAGATTTCTCCTCATAAATTTCTTCTCACCATGAAGTAATGATAATCTCTGTTGACCTACTAGTCAAAACCAACTGTTACATTGTTCTTAAGAAGACTGCAGCATTTTCACAAAACTTGGTTAACTCAAAACAATGTCCAAGGCACTTACCATGCTGATCACACAGATCACAACAATACAATTCAAAATGTATGTGCATGTAGACTTGGTTTGTTACAACATTAATTGACTGATTCTCTGTGGTGTAAACTGTCACAGTAGTCATTAAGTGACAGTTTACACCACAGTTTACATCACTGCAACTTGATTTTGATAAAGTGGACTGAGAAAACTTGGTGTCAGCAGAGACCACATGAAAGGTACAAACAACATACAATTCAGATACATCTACAAAATGTAAACTTGCCATTGACACAAAATAAATTAGCATCTTTCAAAAGCTTTCTTAAATTACATGTACACTTTGTATTTGGTCCTTTGATGCAAGGTCAAAACTGTTGAGCATCAATACCTTGACATGTACGTGACACTACACTAGCTTCTTTCAACAAAGTACAATACAGTGCAGCACATTGTATAATATTTTGTACCCAATTTCCAACTATTACACTACACAAGGTCACTACAGATTTTCATCTTTGTAGTATTCAGGTAATAAAAAACATTCATTCATTCATTCATTCAGCGTAGATAACACATGACTTCAATCATTCAGTGTTGGCAATTTCTTCTGGAGCATGCCTAGATTAAAATGCCTGCCCAAGTCTAGTTACATGTATTCCCAATCTAAGCCCTCTAGTTTAAAATACCACTGATTTATATGCAGTAAAACGTAGCCACCTACAACATAATCACCAAAGCTTGCATTATAGTGACACCTACTGATTCAATTCAAATCTAGCATTAAAATCTAATAAATATTCTATGCAATTCTGAGCTATTCCTAAAGTCTGAACAAGGCTGTCCTTGGCATGTTTTTCTATGCAATTCTGAGCTATTCCCTAAGTCTGAACAAGGCTGTCTTTGGCATGTTTGGCATTTCCACAAGTTGAGGCACTGATACTTCCCCAATTTGCATTTCTATATTTACCCCCTTTCGACATAATCTCTTATCAGGTGTTGAAGTATTTAAGCAATTTCATATTTTGGAGTCTTTTGCCAAAATCTCATTTCACCCCTGGAAAACCCTTTCTCATGCACTTAAATGATTCTAACATCTAATAAAAAGACCTAGTTGACTCATGGAAAAATTCCTCAGTCAGAGTCAACATCTGTAGCAGACATCACCATGGCAGTTCCCTCGCTATCCCGGACTATCGCTACCTTATCGTCATTCCCAGACCGCGCAGGAGTCACATATTTGTAGCGCACTGCTAGGATGACGAAAATGATGTCGACAGCAACCATCAAGGCAGCAAAGAAAAAGAACTCGGAAGACTGAAACAAAGAAGGACAGAAAATGTTAGCTGGCTACGACAAGGATAGTTTAGTAAATGTTATTCATTGCAATAGGTTGCCAACAATCAATGAAATGTTGGATGTAAAAACTCGATGACGGGGGATTGTGGTTGTTGAAAAAAAGAACCTTTTTTATACTGTCTCTTGCCAACCTGATGAAATTATTAACACAATTTGCTACAATATGCCTTCTGTACATGGACATTGTCAGGAATATCTAATATTGCCACCTACCTGTTCAGGAAACATGTTGAGGTTGGCAATGATGAAGGTGAAGAGGTTTCCAAAAGCCACAGTCAGCAGCCAGAGGGCCTGCAGCACTGATCTCATGGACTCAGGAGACTGAGGGGGGAACAAACTCTTTGGTTACTCAAACCTACAGGTGGTAGTGCACATCAGTTGGGTATTGACAGGCCCTTAAGGACTGATGACTTCTTCCCATATACCTAAAATTATGGCAATAACAACAAGGGACTGAACAAATTCTTTAGTTACTCAAACCTGGTTGTGCACATCCCAAACTTAGCGACCTCTTTCCATATGATTGTATTAAAAACCTCTTAATTCTTGCCAGAACACTGTTTTCTGTCCATGAGAAAATACAATAAGATCATATACCATTACGCATCATTCACTTGAGAATATACCAAATATGAAATGTGTCAACCAGATCAAGTCTAAGGAATTCTGACACAATTCTAGAGCAATACCAGAAAGACTTTACCCTGCTGTGTGGTAAAGAAACAGCACCCCCTACCTGTGAGAATGAGAACTCCAGGCCAGTGATAGAGAACATGACTTCTCCTGCAGTGATGGTTACATACTGGGGGATCTGCCACAGCATTGACAAGTCATTGGGGCTGATGTCTTGGAATTTCACTAGACTTGACTGAAAAGTTAACAAGACATGTTTGTTAGAACAAAAAATGTTCCTTCTTTGCCACATATTACGATGTTAGAACAAAGTATCACCTCACAAATCTATTATGAATCAGGTAGCATTAGACAAAGGTTCTTCTTTTC